AATGTCTTGAGGTAGAAGATGCTTGATGCTTGGAAGAGATGCAAGAAGGCCACTGGGTCAGAATAGAGTCAAATAGCTAGATGTTTGGTCAGAGATAACGTGGGCATAGGCTGTGGAAGGGGTGAAAGGCCAGGACAAGGTGGGAGGTCACTGGAGCATCTCCACAAGAGTAAGTTGGCCTCTCTGTGTGGCAAGCCTCCACACAGGATGCAAGCATGGGAATAAGTTAGTTGGCAACTGTGGGAGCTGGACAAGAACAGATGATGATGCCGTGGACCAGCATGATAGCAGTGGAGGTGAGAAAAAATGGTACAGCCTGGGTGTTTTGAAGACAAAACTGAGGATTTGTTGATAGTTTAAGTGTAGGTTGTACGAGAATGAAACATGTCTAACAGATCTCTAACATTTTTGGTCTGGGCAGCTAGGTTAATGGAGGTGTTCTTTTATTTATTTATTTACTTAACACCAAGTACATTTATTAGACAAGAAGAAAGTTATGAAATATCCTCATAACTTCCCTTAAGGAATTAGAAATAAAAGACAGAAACAAACAGAATAAAATAATAAAGATCAGAATGCAAAATCTCTTATCAAAATGCCAACATCATTTTTCACAAAAATTAACATTTTGGGCTGGGGATTTAGCTCAGTGGCATAAGTTCCTGCCTTGCAAGTATGCAGTCGTGGGTTCAATCCTTCATACCAAAAAAAAAAAAAAAAATTAACATTTTGATTCTTACATTTCTGTAGAAATACAAAAGACTCAGTGTAAACAACTTTGATAAAGGAACAAAATTAGAGCTCCAACCCTCCCCAATCCCATGACTTATCACAAAGTTATACCAATCAGGATAGAACAGCACTGATATCAAGATAGACAACCACAAAGGTACCAGTATGAAGCCCCAAAATAGACACCCACATAACAGACAATTGATTTCTTTTCTTTTTTTTTTTTTTTTTTTGTCTTTTTCATTTTTATCGGTACCGGGGATCGAACTCAGGACTGCCTGCTTGCAAGGCAGGTGCTTATGCTGCTGAGCTAAACCCCCAGCCCCGAGACAATTGATTTCTGACAAAGATGCAAAAGCAATTCAGTGGAGAAAGGATTTTACCTTACACTGGAACAACCGGGTATCCACATGCAAATAACCCAAACCCACTGCACATTAAAAATTTCGTAAGACATCCAAAAGTCAACTCAAAATGGCTCACAGTGGGTCAGTTAAAGTAAAGGCCGGTGTGACCTGAGTCGTTGCTTTGCCTGAGGTCATTCTCTCTGGGACAAAAACACTGGCAGACAAGGTGTGGGAGGGAACGCAGAACCTACAGAGGTGTTCTGTGAAGGGAGGCACTGAATTTGTTTCTGAGCAGGCCATGTGGATGGCAAGGGAGGCCATTATCTTGCTTCTTTTTAAAAAATTATGTTAGGGGCAGGGGATTTAGCTCAGCGGCATAAGTGCCTGCCTTGCAAGCAGGCAGTCGTGAGTTCAATCCCCGGTACCGATGAAAAGGAAAAAGACAAAAAAAAAATTATGTTAATTATTTTTTACACACATATATACATGTTTTTTCTTTCAACTTGTCACACTAATGAAACAATACAATGTTACACGTGTGTCTTATTTATTTCACTAAGAAGTATGTTCTCAAGGTGCATCCATTTACCTATAAAAGTGTCCAGTTCATCATTCTTTATGGCTGAGTAGTACTCCACTGTATAGAATTACCACATCTTTTTTTATTCATTCCTCAAGCAATGGGTGTTTAGGTTATTTCCAAGATCTGCCTATTATAAACTGTGCTGCCATAAACATGCATGCACATATATCGCTGTATGATGCTTTTAATTCTTTTGGGAAGATACCAAGAAGGGGAAGAGCTAGGTCAAATGGGATCTTCAACCCTAGTTTTTTGAGGAATCTCCACACTGACTTCCACAGTGATTGCACCAGCTTGCATTCCTACCGAGAGTGGAGAAGGGTTCCTTTTCCCTACACCCACCAATGGAGGCGTTCTTCACTGAGACAGTAGAGACTGCAGAGTAGCAGAGAGGTTAGGGTTAGACAATCAGTTTGCTTTGGATATTTTTTTTCTTCTTTATCCTGGGGTGAACCTATGCTAAGCAAGTGGTTTACCACTGAACAACATCCTCAGGTCCCTCACTTTTTTTTTGAGACATGGTCTTGCTATGTAGTGCAGGCTGACCTTGAACTCACTACAGAGCCAGATACGGTAGCACATACCTACATGTCTGTAATCCTAGCACATAGGAAGCTAAGGCAGGGGGACTGTCATGAATTTAAAGTTAGCCTGGGCTGTGTAGTGAGTTCAAGGCCAGCCTGACCTACACAGTGAGACCCTATCGTGAAAAAAAAAAAAAAAGGTTGAGCTCATTACATAGCCCAGGCTGGCCTTGAACTGGAAGCAATCCTTCTGCCTCAGCCTCTGGAATGTTGGGATTACACGTGTGAATTACTATGCTGGCACCAGTCCTTTATAAAATTTTTAGACGGTTTTCCTAAACTGCCAGGCTAGTCTGAATTTGTTATCCTTCTCCTCAGCCTCCTGAATCATTGTGTATTAAACCTGGGACCTACCTTATGCTAAGCAAAAACTCTACTACTGAGCTCCAAGCTGGCCTTGAAGTTGATTTCTGCCTGCTTCAGCCTTCTAGGTAGCATAGGCTGAGTAGCCATTGTGCTTGGCTTGTTTTGGACATTATAAATTTAAAATGTCTATTAAATAACCAAGTGGAGGTGTTTAGTAGAGATAGAAACAGTAAGATATCCAAAGCTGCAGCATAGGAAGAAGAGATTTAGACACAAAGATTTAGGAGTCAAGAAACAACATTTAGTCATGAAATCAGATCACCGGGAGGGGGTGTAAACAAAAAGAGGTCTGGGGTTGAGGAGACAGGAAAGTTCAGCAAGAGGCAATGAAGGGGGAAAATAGTGTCCTAAAAGCTGAAAGTGTCCTAGGAGTGATTACCTGTATCAAAAAACACTTGAGTGGGGCTGGGGATTTAGCTCAGCAGCAGTACCTGCCTGGCAAGTACGAGGTCGTGAGTTCGATCCCCAGTACCAAAAACAAAACAAAACAAAAACATTTGAGGGCTGGGGTTATAGCTGAGTGGAAGAAGCCATATTCAGCATACATAAAAGATTTTGGGTTCACTCCCAGCACCAACTAGTAAGAAAGCTGAAAACTATAAAATCACCATTTGACTTAGTAAGAGTTGGGGAGGGGCCTTGGAACCTCGTTCTTTGTGGGAGGGATGACAGGTCACTGGAGCATCCTTGCTAGTTGAGCACTCTGGGCCTGAAGGCAGAGCTGGGTAACAGATGGTCAGGAAAAGAGACAAGGTTTTGGAACCCAGGATTGATGGAGAAGCTGGCCTTGCCTGTCACAGCCAGCATGGTGCTAGTCAGTGGGGGATCAAGGTGGCTATTTTGGCTGGGCTTCATGTTCATTCAGAGCCATATGTTTTCCTGTTGTTTTGTTTTGAGACAGGGTTTCTACATAGTGGAGGCTGGCCTTGAACTCACTAGTTAGTCTAAGAGGGCCTCAAACTTGAGGTGATCCTCCTATCTCAGAGTCTTCCAGGTGCCAGGATTACACATTTGCAGCACTACATCCAGTGCAAGAGCCACACATTTAGACTTTTGATTTTTTTTTTTTTTTTTTTTTTTTGGTCTTTTTGGGACAGGGTCTCACTATGAAGTTCAGGCTGGCCGTGAACTCACTTTGTGTCCCAGGCTGAACTCACTTTGTGTCCCAGGCTGGTCTCAAGCTTGCAATGATCCTCCTGACTCAGCCTCCCAAGTTCAAGTGCTGTTTTCATGTAGTCTTTTTTATTTGTGTTCATCAGAATGTCAAGACTTAAAAGCTGGACACGGTGGCATATAATTATAATCCCAGCACTTTGGGAGGCTGAAGCAGGAGCTTGAAAAATTCAAGCCTGACCCAAACAATTCTGTGATCTAGCAAGAGCTTGTCTTGAAATGGAAAAACAAACTAGGTATGCTGGCACTCATCTGTAATCCTAGTACTCTGGGAGGCTAAAGCAGGGATCACAAATTGAAGTCCCATCTAGGTAACTTGGTGAGACCCTGATCAAAGGGAAAAAAGGAGGGGGGGGGTGCTGATGATGTAGCTCAGTGCAAACATCCTAGGTTCAATCCTCTAATACTGCAAAAGTAAAAAAGAGGCTGAAAATGTAACTCAGTGAAAAGCGCTTGGGTTTGATCCCTAGTACTGGAAAATGTTAAATTTAAAATGCATAATTTTATAAGCATGTTTGTTCCATTATTAAAATATTAGGAAACTTAAGAAATGGGAATGACCTTGGCTTTATTTAACCTCAGACAGACTGGGGACGAGGCAAGTTTGGTGCCTAGGGTGAGTGTACTTTAGGCCTTTCTCGGACCCACTTTAGTCCTGGCCTACCTCACATACTGCCGGGTAATACACCTGCTTCCCACCCAGGAGCTCACAGAAGCAGTGGGCTAAAAGGCAGCCCAGAGTACAGGAACTGCTGCTTTGGGCTGGGGTTTGCATAGTACAGAGAGGCCAAGAAAAAATCAAAATCAACAAAACCCCCAAACCAGAACAGCAACGCCCTTTCACCTCGAAAGTAGGTGCACACTGCCACCCTGTGGCCACCAAGGGCCGGACTCACAGGACTGGTCCCAGAATGGTACTTGGCTGAACAAAGCTGAGACACACACTTCACTCTGGCCTGAGCTGCTCAGATGGTGACATTCTCCTTTGTGTGGAAAAGGGTGTTCTCACATATGTTAATCGCAAGGCCTCAGCCCAAATCCCCTGATCTCCTGGTAGCATGGAGTCTGATAATTTGTAGTTTCTTAATTAGGCATCCTCAAATGTAAAGCTCTGCCATAGTCCAAAGCCACTGTCTTAGTAACTCAACTGCACAGCAGGTGAGAGGCTTCCCGTGAGTTATCAGCTTCTCCTGATGCTTACACACACAAAGAAATGGAACTGTTTGACAAGTCTTTATTAAGAGACAGATGGGCAGGGAATGCAAGAGGGGCAGTGTCTGGAAACTGTGATAGGGTGTGTACACACGCATTGAAAAAGCCTTCTCTAAGCCAGGGGTGGACCCTTGGAGCCATGGTGGAGGCCAACTTTCCCACCACACCCCCAAGGGAGGCATGAGGGAGGGTCTTTCAGGGATGGAAGAGCTTCACTTGAGGACTCTCTACATTCCTCTGGTTCCCCAGCTGACTTACTGGCTGAAAGGGCAGGGGATGAGCCACAAGGGCACTTGCATAGCAAGGGAATGGAATGGGGATAAGGCATATGGTGATGACAGGGAATAAAGGGAAGGGGTGTCATAGCCACAGGGAAGGGGGCCTCTAAAGGGAAGCTCCCCTACCTACTCCCACTACAGCAAGGCTGAGGAGTTAGACTCAGGGTGAAACCCACCCTCATTAACTCCAGAGCCCTAACTGCAGGTAGAAAGCTCTGGAAGGCCTGAGTTAGTGAGTCAAGCTTGTGAAATGTGTTCAGACATGACTGGCCCCCTTGGTATACTGGGGACCACTTCTCTGGATGGACATGAGTGCATGATCCTGCAGTAGATTCAGGTCTTGGCATCTGTATGTCCAAATTGTTCCCATGGGTCTGAATGTGTAAGCATATATGTCCTTCCTAGCACAGCAGGAACTCAGTATTGGCATGGTATGAGTGGGTCCCTGCCTATGCACATGGGCTCCAGTTAGTGGATGTATGTGGAACTGCCCACTCCTGTTGCCACAAGTCTTCCTTCAAGGCCTGGCTGGTCAAGGGTCTTGGCCGAAGAGGTAGGTGGTGAGTTCAAGCTGGAGGGCCCGGGCATAGACTCGAAGGGTATAGAAGAGGGTGAGGAAGTCCTGGGTGCTGAAGACAGTGTCAGCCAGTGCAAATCCCAGGGTAGACGGGATGACACCCCGGCCGTACTCCACCATCCATGTGTTTGGTCCCCATTCCACAGCCGTTGCTTCACCAGGCCCGTGCACCACTGTCTCCCCTGGGGGACAGGGAGCACACAAGTGAGGAGGCCATCTCTGCCCTGCCTCTCTATTGCTGGGTTCACCTGGCCCATGGGCTTTCTGGAAAGGAAAAGGCCCTACCTCACTGGCAGTCTTTCAGTTAGAAAGGAAAGAGTACCGCATAGTCACTCCTAAAGTTCTGTGGCACCATCTGGCCCATATCTTCTCTTGGTGGAAACCAGGACTTCTCTACATAGCCATGGGTTATTGTATGGAAGTCATGGGAATATAAATTCCCAAACCTCACTCACATCAAGTGGACATTTAGGTTAACTTCGGCTGGGCTGGGTAGGTGTGGTCACAAGATTTGTGAGGCTTTCTGAGAAATGCAGCTGTTCAATCACAATGTTTTTGTGCTTATACATTACCTCAAATTCACTTAGAAGTCCAAGGTTCCACTTTTTAATGTACATTGTTTCATTATTTTAAAAAAGGATGGAGGGACCTAACTGTCTTGTCTTTTGGGGTATGAGAGCATTTCTGATTACTGTGTCCCCAGTGTTCCTCACTGCTGGAATATTGATTGGATAAAATAAATAAAAATCAGACATGTTTGACAGGAAGCTATTATGTTTTGTTTCCCTTTAACAGAAGAAAACAATGGTGCCCCCTCAGCTCTGCCCCAGCCAACCACCTGTGGCTTAGGTGGGTGGGGAGGAAGGGTGAAGAGGGCTTCCCCAACACCCCCTTTTCAACTGTGGGTCCTTCCAGCATGAGGACGCCCACTCTTTGACGGAGCTTCTTTACTCACCTGGATAGAAGACCTCACTTTTGGTGGTGCCCTCTCTCCACTGGTGGAAAGTGCCAGAGATAATGGTGTCGGAGATCTCAGCCCAATAGCGGCCTAAATAATTAGATGGACCGATATCAGGATGTCCGCACCATCACACGGCTCAGCCAAACGTCAAAAAGGAGGGAAGGTCCAGCCCCAGCCTCCCAGTCTGGCCCTCCACTAGCACTGACCCGAGTGGCCGCGGGAGCCCAGGGCGGTGCCGAAGAGCAGCACATACTCGGACAGCGAGGCATGCAGAAGGCACATGGCGCCCATCCAGCCGCCCGCGTTCACGAACACCCACTGCAGCTCCTCATCGGGCAGTACGTGTCCCGGGTGCAGCCGCCGCAGCTCCACGATCAGCTTAGAGAAGGCCAGTTCGTGGTCCAGACCTGGCGGAAACCGAGGAGCAGCGGTCAGGGACAGCTCCAGGCCCGATGCCCTGGGAACCGCGCTGGGCTCCTAGACTAGCCGCCCCTCTCCCGCCCTCGGCCGGCTCACCAGCGTACTGCCGCGCCAGCTGCGCGATTTCTTCGCGCTGGAAGACGAAGTTCTGCGTGCCCAGCCAGAGCCACACGATTTGGGTTAGAACCGCCACGGCAGCCAGAAACAGCGCAACCCACAGCCATCGCCGGCCCACGGCCCACTGCATCACTTCGAGTGAAGCGGCACGGGGATGCAAGAGGGAACCTGGGCCCAAAGCCGGGGCTCTACAGTTCTGGGTCCCCCGACGGTGCCCAGGACGCGCTCCCCCGCCACCGCCGTGGTATGGTTCTCCCTGGCCAATCGGAACGGCCCGAGCGCTATAGCACCGCCCCATCGGTTGAATCATTTCCTTGTGGAGAGCGCAGGGGGCGGGGCGGCGCCGCGCACGTGAGGGAAGGGGGCGGGGCCAACCTCTTATTTGCAAGCGCTGGGGTCTTCGGGCAGCGTCTGTTTAGGCTGGTGCGCTACGGAAAAAACCCTGGGCTGACTGCCGGCTTGAGCTAAATGCCTGGCAAAGAAAGCAATCCCAGAAAGTAGAGCCTTTTGGGACTCGAGATTATCGCGGCCTACCTTTGCTAGCACAGATCCTGAGACGAGGTAGTGAAACCTGGGACTTTAGGGAAGGCTTTTTAGAGGCCTGACACTTTTGCTAGCCGAGTCTTAAGAGAGAAGGGCATTTGAGCAAAATGGGCCCACTGTAAGAGCAGAGTTGCAGAGGGAGACTGCACCACCCACCCACGCAGCGGAAATTGAACCCAGGACCTTCCCACTGAGCCACACATCTCCAGCTCACTCTCCCCACTTTTGATACAGGGTCTTAATCTAAAGTCACTAAATTGCCCAGCCTAGGTAGGCTCAGCTTGTGATGCTCCTGCCTTAGCCTCCTAGAGTCCTGAAATTCGAAGCATGTGCCCCGATGCTAGATTAACATGGATTCTTTGGTAGCCTATAACTTATGTTTTGTTCAGAAGCATGAAATTTAAGAGGAGGGCCTCCCAACTAAGTCAGTGGAGGGTAATCTGCAGGAGAGTAATGGGTTGAGACTTTGCCTTAGAGTGGAGACATGGAAGAGGGTGCAAGATGAGAGAGATCATGACTGGTGCAAGTAAGAGGGAGATCTCTGTCTGGAGATGGTATGGTCTCATACCACCAGCTCTGATCTCTCTAGGGATCCTGCAGAAAAGATGGTAATTTAAAAAGTGGATAAATAACAATGTACCTATTGCACTGAAAAAAAAAGTGGATAAAGTCTCATAGGGAGGCTTAACTGAGTAAGGTAAGGTAAAGGACAGAGCTGTAAAAAACACCAACTAGGGGTAGGCAGAGAGAGAGAAAGAGAGAAACTAAAAGAAAGGCAAAGGAAGCATAGTGTGGTGATTAATAAACTCCGGAGCTGGACTGGGGTCAAAGCCTTGGCTTTGACATCTACTATTCGTGTGATCTTGGACAAATGACTTAAGTTTTCTGTGACTCAGTTTTTTTTATCTGTAAAGTGGAATAAATAAATGTACCTACCTCATAGTACATACCCTTATTGTGATACAGATTAAATGAGCTAATATTTTAAAGCAATTAGTGCCTGGCACGTGGTGAGCATTATGTTTAGTTATAGAAATAAATGATAACCAGAAGAGAAAAGCTTCACACCACTGGACTGATGGAATGGTCAACACAGTTGAATATAACTTCTCAATATGATAAGAAATGGTCCCTGGAGTTTTCAGTGGAGGCATATGGCTGAGACAATGCCAAATCCACAAATCTATTTCATTTTGCCCTTGGGCGGCCAGATTATATTCCACAGACTATTATGTAGATGGGACCATGTGATTATATTCTGAGCAATGAAACATAGGCAGTAAACATGTATGCTGTTTCCAGGTTAGGCTCGTAAAATCTGTCAAATTCTTCACATTCTCTTTTCTCATCTATTACTGTAGTTACAGAGGATATAGTAGAGAATTCTTAGGAAACCACTAGATTTAAAACATTCTTTTTTCCCCCAAAATGAGGTGAGAGGCACAGAGTTATGGTAATATTCCTGGGGGGGGGGTGCAGAATAACTTGGCATGATTTAGGGTATAGGACTGAAACTGTGTTCCTGAGAAAATGAAACAGCCTCCAAAATCCAGACACTGAAACAGACACTTGAAAAAGTAGAAAAGCAGGTCTCCTATCCCTGCCCTTACCCTATCTTGTACTATGAACAACCAGTGGGACAGACAAAACTCATTTCTTAGTGCCTACTTCCTGTTCCCTAGCTAGTGTCCTAGTTGGAGTCCAGGCTGAGGACTCTAGGGCAAAGAGCAGGTAGATAACCAATGACTTTTTTTCCAGCCCAGTTGCAGAATACTTGGCTTGGCCTGATGTGGCCTGGGAGAAGGGGCCTCCCTACTGTAGGTTAGCTCCTAGCTCACTAGGTTTCTGTCCTGAATCCTGCTCAAGTCTTAGACACATGTCACAGCACTGGGAATCTTCTTGGGAATCCACATTCAAATCTCAGCTTGTTATTCATTCTGTCATTCATTCACGGTAACCCTGAAAACTGTTCTCCACTATGAAGTGGGAAAGAGGTGTATATCACATTTAGATGGCTCTTTAGAAGTGCAGGCGAGATATTAATTTGAATTCTGTTCTAGTGGTAGCTAATTGGTTTCATCAAAAGAAACAAAAACATGGAGAAGAAAAAAGGAACACACAAAGGAAATACCTCTGATACCACTCAGATGGTGACTAGAGCTACTAACAGTCCTGTCCTCCTCACACTTTGTATCACTCCATCCCTTCTCTCCTCATTTTCTTTTCTGACAGCATCTCACTATGTAATCCAGGGTGACCTTGAACTCACAGCAGTCCTGTTTTAGCCTTCAGAGTGCTGGGATTATAGGCGGTCACCACTACATCCAATTTTGTTTTGCTCTTGAGATTGGTCTCACTATGGTGCCCAGGCTGGTCTTGAACTCTGCGGGCTCATTGATCCTCCTGCATCAATTTCCCTAGTAGCTGAGACTACAGGCACACACACCGCTGTGCCCAGGTCATTTTTGTTTGTTTGTTTCGAGACAGGGTCTGCTATGTGGATCAGGCTGGCCTTGAACTAGTATGTAGCCCAGGCTGGCCTTGAACTCGCTGTGATCCTCCTGTCTCAGCCTTCTTATTGCTGAGATCACAGATGTGCCCAGGCTAGGTAGGTGTGCCACCACGCCCAACTGATATTTTTATAGCCTCTTATTTCTAACCCTTCTTGTGTTTTTTGGTCTGTGCATGTGTGTTTTATGTGCGCTTTGTGTGTATGAGAGACAGAGACAGAGAGACAGGAAGAGAGAGAGGATGAATAATATGAGTCCGTGGTTTCTTAGGTTTTTTTTTTGTTTTTTGTTTTTTTTTTTTTCTAAACCTGTTTCTGTTGCTGGTCCTACAATGTAAACTTGGGGAGAAGAGAGGGAAATGAGACTTCTGTGCTAGGGGCATCCCGGTGTTCTATGCAGAGCCTGGGTGTCAGCACATGGTAGAGGCTTAGTAAGTATTTGCTGAATGAATAGCCATATGAATGAATAGCCACATGACTGTACCAAAAATGTCCTGAAGCAGGACTCTGCAGTACCGAGTTTTTGCAGCATTGCTTCCAGGGTAGTGGCTCCAGTCTGCGCGAAGTGGTATCACCTATCACCAAACTCATTCTGCCAGCTGCTCCGCCCACCGAGCCCCGCCCCCAGGCCGCCCCTTACTCAACTGTCACGTGCTGGCGGCTGGCCAATCACAGGGGCGCATGGGGCCAGACAGAATTGGAAGCGTGAGTCGAGGACGCTCAGACGTTCCCCGCGACCCGCACGGGCCCGATGTCTCGCGGTGGATCAGACCCTGAGCAGCGCCAGCGGACCTCAGAGGCGGACGCCACCTCCGCAGCCTTCCGGTCCAGCGGTAATTGCTGGGCGGCCGGGGATCCGCTGGAACACTGCGCCGACCCCTCCTCTTAGAATGTTGTCGCTCCAACTTCAAGGTCGGCGCCTTCACTCCGGGAAGGGACCGCGGGGCCGGATAGGGGCTGCGCCCGCTGCGTTAGGAGGAACCAAACCCGGTCCCTTAGCTCCCGAGCAGGACGAGCCCAATTGTGTGCCGCTGAACTCGGGTCTCTTGTGAGGGAAAGCCTGGGAAAAGAAGGAGGCTTTGGCTGACTGATCTTAACTGTCCGTCTCCAGAGCATCAACATATCCGCTACAACCCACTGCAGGATGAGTGGGTGCTGGTGTCAGCTCACCGCATGAAGCGGCCTTGGCAAGGGCAAGTGGAGCCCCCGCTTCTGAAGACCGTGCCTCGCCATGATCCTCTCAACCCTCTGTGTCCCGGGGCCACTCGGGCTAACGGAGAGGTAAGCTCGAGAGCCCACATACACAGGGTGGGCGTGGGGGGTAGGCTCCCCCTCAGAGCTCCCTTTCACTCACGGGGCCAGTGAACACACCCGGATCACACCCTACCAAGCCGTTTGTTCCCTAAAGTGGGCCTTCCCGTTCCCCTGCAACCTGTGCAGCAGCCTCTAAAGCCCACCAGATGGTGACATGGGGCAGTGCATGCTTCTTGCCCTTCCTTCTGTATAGGTGAATCCCCACTACGATGGCACCTTTCTGTTTGACAATGACTTCCCAGCTCTGCAGCCTGATGCTCCAGACCCAGGTACCCTACCTGAGCCACTACGGGGGAGGAGGGAGACTTGGCCTTTTAGGACGAGCTTCTGCACAGAGTAATGTTCCTTTGCCTCAGGACCCAGCGATCACCCTCTTTTTCGGGCGGAGGCTGCTCGAGGAGTTTGGTAACTATGGATATTCCCTCTTCAACCAGGATTGAAGACTAAACCCTGGGGTTGGGTTCTGTCCCTAGCACCCAACCCCTATCCTCTGTCATCGCTTCCCCCCTCCTCACTTAGTAAAGTCATGTGCTTCCACCCTTGGTCGGATGTGACGTTGCCTCTCATGTCGGTCCCTGAGATCCGGGCTGTCGTCGATTCATGGGCCTCAGTCACAGAGGAGTTGGGTGCTCAGTACCCTTGGGTACAGGTCTGTGAGGTGTCCCTTTCCCTGGAAGGGTGGGGAGGGGAAAGGTACAGCTTTGACTTAAGGGAGTAGCTGTTTCCAGAGTGTGGCTGAAAGGGTACCGACTTCGGTCTTTCCCGTTATTGAAAGTCCCTATTTTAGCTGGGTGTAGTGGTGCACACCTGTAATCTCAACACTGAGAACGCTGAGGCAGGAGGATTGCCTCGAATTCCAGGCCAGCCTGGGCTACATAATGAGTTCAAGGCTACATGACGTGATCCTGTCTCAAAAAGAAAAGTAAAGCTCCCTATCTCTATCCAATAGATCTTTGAAAATAAAGGAGCCATGATGGGTTGTTCCAACCCCCACCCCCACTGCCAGGTAAGTGTACCCGGAAGTGCAGCGGCTTTCTTGACTGGATCCAGTCAGCACTGGGGCAGGGGAACTGAGTTAAAGGGTGAGATAAAGGTAGTGTACTAGTGATGCGGTGGCTTGGAGGTAAAGGACTCCCCTGCTCTTGTCTGCTCCCATCTCCTGACAGGTGTGGGCCAGCAGTTTTCTGCCAGATACGGCTCAACGTGAGGAACGGTCTCAGAAGTCCTATTACAGCCAGCACGGAGAGCCCCTGCTGATCGAGTACAGCCACCAGGAACTACTCAGGAAGGTGGGAGAGAACAAGGCCCCCAAGAGCTTGCTTACCCCACAAGAGGGGTGTGTGAAAGAGAAAGGGAAAGCAGAAGTGGCCTAGATACCCACTAGAAGACATCAACAATAAAGGAGTGATGATGGGGGTTTACAGTAGGGTCAAGTGGTGGGAATCCTTCAAATTCTTTTGTTTTTGCTGCCTATTTGCTGACCATGTACATGGTTTATGACTTCATCTCCATTTTGTGTGCTCAGGAACGTCTGGTCCTAACCAGTGAGCACTGGTTAGTGCTGGTCCCATTCTGGGCGGTGTGGCCCTTCCAAACATTGCTGCTGCCCCGTCGACATGTGCGGCGGCTGCCTGAGCTGACCACTGCTGAGCGAGATGGTGAGTCTCCCAGCTGGGACCTTGGGCCTGTGCCCTGGATGAGATGGTTCTGGTAGGGCCAGCATCTGGTTCCCAGGCTGAGAGTTGGACTCTGATTTCAGATCTAGCGTCCATTATGAAGAAGCTGTTGACTAAGTATGACAACCTATTTGAGACATCTTTTCCATACTCCATGGGCTGGCATGGTGAGGCATTTGTGTATCTATATCTAACTCCATCACCATTTCTGGGCTCCTGGATCCCAGCTTAGGGGACCACATCTCCTAGCAGACCTTGCTGAGAAAGGGTCTAGAGCAGGAATGCTGAAAATGGGGTGGGGTGGGGCAAACTTAGAGAAACTCACTAGGGTGCTTTCTGATGCCTGGGCTTTCTGGTGGAGAATGCTGGGAGATGTAGTTTTTAGGTATATGGCCTGGTTTCGGGAGAGGGGTGGAATGAAGAACTAAGAAAGGGCCCTCCCTACCTTCTCTGGCTTCTTTTTCCTGTCAGGTGCTCCCACAGGATCAGAGGCTGGGGCCAACTGGGACCACTGGCAGCTGCATGCTCATTACTACCCTCCACTTCTGCGATCTGCCACTGTCCGGAAATTCATGGTTGGCTATGAAATGCTGGCCCAGGCCCAGAGGGATCTCACCCCCGAGCAGGTCAGGCCTCAGAGCCTACAGACCCCATTTTCTGTGCCACCTCAAAGGATCCTAACAGTTAGGACCCCAAGAATCCTCATGAAAATCTGGGCTTTTCTAGGAACCACGAGCTGATATATCCTATGCTGTGGTGGCTCCAGCAATCCTTACTTCCCCATCCCTCAATGTGTTCCCCGGTATCTCCTGCTGCTCAGAACTTTGTGCCACCATTCTCTGTAGCCCTTACCTCTTTAACTGCCCTTTGTCTCCTTTCCAGGCTGCAGAGAGGTTACGGGCACTTCCTGAGGTGCACTACTGCCTGGGGCAGAAGGACAGCGAGGCAACAGCCATTGCCTGACCACAAGGCTTTGAGTCCTTCTGCCAGAGGAGACTGAGGCGTGGAGTTTGGGCAGATGTAGCATCAATAAAGTTAACTTAAAACTTTAATTATATATTTCTGATGCTAGAAGAGTATGAACTTAGAAACCAGGGGTTGGGCATGTTGGCCTATATTCCCAGCATTTGGGAGGCTGGGGCAGGAAGATTGTCTCGAATTCCAGGTGAGCCTGGGCTACATAGTGAGTTCAAGACAAACTTGAACTACATAATGAGACTTGTCTTTAAAAAATTAAAAAAAACAAAATGAAACAAACACACCATCAACAATACTCTACCCAAACCTTCAGGGATCTAGGGTTAAAGACTAAAGGGCACCTGGATATAGTGGGGAATGCCTGTCAGGGCTGAAGCAGAAATGCAGACTTAGTAAAACACTGTCTCAAAATAAAAATGACTGGGGTTGTAACTCAGTGCAAGGCTCTGAGTTTAATCTCTAGTACCACAAAACCAAAATAAGACAACAAACAAACCCAAACTCTAGCCACAATTTACCTACAGATGTGCAAAAACTTGATGCAAATATTCACCCCATATCTCTGCACAAAACTAATGTTCAGTATTGTATCTGGCCTATAGATTCTCTTACCCATGGCACATGTGACTTTCTAGTTTAGGAAGTTTTAAAATGTTTGTGTTCTTAGCTGTGGCTGAGGCTACAAGGGCCAAAGTCCCTTCCCCACCAAGCCCAGGCCTGAGGATGCTGGTCCCAGTGGTCAGTGGCTAGTCCCTGGGCTGCTGGCCAGACCCTGGCTTTGTAAGTGGCTGCTGCTTGGCTTTGCTTCAGGCCGCAGGGGCTGAAGGGATGAGTAGGGCACGTGTAGGTGGCTTTGTGTCCTTGGCTTCTCTACGCTCCCACATGCAGTGTGCGCAGCCCCAGTGTACCTCTGTTCCTTTATTCCAGTCTACAGGACAGAAAGGGGGTCACATGGCTTAGAACCTAGAAGAAGATGGCTTTTCAGCATAACCCTTCTGTAACAGGTGGGGAACAAAAGGTTATCAGCCTGGTCATAGTTTTTCCCAGGGGAACTGAATCTTGCTGGGAAAATCATACCAAGGTTGGACAGTAACTGGACCTCGTAAAGAACTTTGCCTACTTCCAGCCTAGGGTATTTTTTCCGTGAGAGTTAAAAGTGCCTGGGAAGTGTTACTCTGATAGGGAAGGTGATCAAATCAGGGGCTGGACAATGGATGGACGTCCTTGGTGGGAGGGACACACGCCCCTGATCTTACACCTGTGCTTTGGCTGCATTTTGGAACTGTCTGGGTAGTTTTAATGCTGAAGTCTAGGTCCAACCTCCAGAGATTCTGATTTAACTGGTCCAAGTGGGGCTTGGCAGTTCTACAACCACAACACTGCAGTGCAAAGTGTGAGACCATTGTTCTGAACCAGCCTTCCTCTTTCCTGGGTAGGGGACACTGTCACCTGCACATTAGCTCCTGAGCCCTGAACTTGAGGCTTTGTGGACAGCTGGAACGGGATAGTTTCAGTCCTGCAGTCCCAGGGAGGACAGACCAGCTCCGGGCAGTCCCGTTTAAGGTTTAAGACTCGGACCTTAGTATCCTCCTTGGTCCAGACGGGACAGGAAGTGTCCAGCAGAGGTGGGGGTGAAAGTGATTGGCAGCTGGAGGCGCCAATGGGCCGGGAGGCCCCCCTTGTTTCACCTCTCTCCTTCCATTGGCGCCTGGGAGGAGCCACCCCACAGCGGGGGCCCGCGGCGGGAGGGAGTGAAGGCCACAGCGAGGGCGGAGGGCGCTGGCGGCCGTGGCCGCAGAAGGTGAGGCCTGGTGGGGCAGGCGGTGTAGACGGTGTAGTCTCGCCAGGAGGGGGCGGGGCAGGGCGGTGTGGGATCTGAAGTACCGGGAGCAGCCGCTGGAATGCAGTATGTCTGTGTGTGACGATGCTGGTGTGTGCTACTCTAGGGCATTGTCACTCGGTGCAATTGTCAGCTAATGCGACTGCATGTGACAACGTGCTTGTACCCGAGTCTGCATGTGGAGGTGCAAGGAAGAGAGTCTGGGTGTATCTTTCTGCTTTTAGTGAGATGGGTGTGTGTGTGTGAGAAGAGACCGAGAGAGAGGTGACCACATCAGGGGGTGTGTTTGGGACGTCTCTCTGAGGTGTGTGGCTGTGTCTGTCAGTGTGAGAGTAGGTGACCCTGCTTGTGGGAGCACAGCAAGAGCGAGACAAGTGCATACGTGTGTGTCCTGTGTCCTAACGCGGACCGCGTGGGAGTGTAGCTGTTTGCATATTGATAGCCAATGGCACCGACCCTTCTCCTTGGCTGCGCTGTGAACAGGCCTGTGCCCAGCACCCATGCTTCCCTTGCTTCTTCTGCCCAGGAGTTACTGACAGCGTGTGTCTGTGCGGGACCCTCGGAAAGTGAAGGGCTACTGCTCATCATTTGCTGTTTGTCCCTCTGACTCAGTTTCCTCGTGTTTCTCTTTCTCTCTCGATGGCTGTCTTCCTGGGGATATTTCTCCCTGTGTCTCTCACAGTTTTGTCTCCTAAATGTCTCTGTATCTCTCTTTTTGAAACAGGGTTTTGCTATGTAGCACAGACTGGCCTTGAACTCGCTGCAGTCTTCCTGCCTCGGCCTCCTGAGTGTGTGCCAGCTGACAGTCAGATCTGCTTTCTAGTGTTGTGATGCTGTCTGTGTTTGTGTCCTAAGCCTGACAGTCTGTCTACCTGGGATCCTGAGTTGCTGATCTGCCATTGTAGATGAGGACCCTTAAACCATCATGAGCATTTACCTTTAGGGAGCAGCGTGACCCCCACACACACACCCAGAGATCAGACTGTGTGTGTGCCTCTCTGAATCCAGGTGAGGGTGTCTGAGTGTTTTGGTGTAACTGTATCTGAGAGTGTCAGTCTGAGGGTAAGTGTGGGTTTTGCGTACCTGGCACCAAGGGAACCAAAGGCATTTCCTGGTGCTGAGGCCCAAAGGGTGGGAGGGGAGGTAAGAAATGGCTGGAACTTACAGGGGAGGGGCAACTGGACTCTGGCTTTTTCTTGTATTCCCCAGCCTGGGGCTTCTCTTAACCCTAGAAACAGGCAGCTGGGCCCTAAGGCAACATTTGCTGGGGAGTTAAAAAAAAAAGTAGGTGCACAAGTTTGTATCTGTTTTTCTGTTTGATTGTGTCCATGTGGTTAGTGTAGTGTCCTTTTGTTAACTCTACCTAGTGAGTCCAGCATGAATGTAGCTGTGTGTGGCTATGTAAAAACTTGGGGAATCTCTGACAGGAACATAAACATAAGCAACCTTTTTCTCCCTCTGGCGGGCCCTGGCTTCCTTTCTGTCCTGGGGGGAGACTCTTCCCTTTCCAGGGCCTTCGGTGGGAAGGGAGGAGAGAGAAAGAAGGAGGGGAAGAGGGGAAGGAGAAGGAAGGCTGAGGGGGCCTGGTTAAGGGTGGCTGAGCTCCAGGGCCCAAAGTGGGTGGGGCTGAGAAGGAAAGAAGAGCATGGTGCTAGGGACCCAGCACTGAGTGCAGCACGAGCTGGTTCAGTGGCTGGTGGGAGGAAGTGGGAGGACTTCTTGGAGACCATGGACACTCAGCCACTGGGATCAACAAGGTAGGGTGGGGCTGGACAGGGAGCCAGGGTAAGCCAGAGAGACCCAGATAGATGTGTGGACATATGGAAGCCCCTGCTCTGGTCTAGGTCCACTCCGGAGGGGTTGGTGCTCTTCCTCTTTAGCGCTCTCACCCAGGCCTCTCATTTGCTCCTTCTTTTCCTCCTCCTTTGCTTCCTCCTCCTGCACACCCCAGGCCCAAATCATAGCTCCTTACTCCACAGCCCTTTAGCTCCTTCTCAGACTTTTGAGTTTCTGTTCCTCCAGCCCAGCCCTGTCACCTCCTGGTCCTGATCACTGAGTGATCTCCTCACTTGGTGCTGTGGCACCAAGGCCTGGGTTCCTGCAGGCTCCTGGCTCCCTTCTCCTCTCCGCCACTCTGTCTCCATCTCCATCTGCTGGCTGCTTGCCCGCCCTCAGCCTCTAGCAGCAGCCAGGGCATCTGGATCTGCTTAACTGTGTAGCCCCAGTCTGCACCCTAGCCCTGGCCAGCTCTACAGGCATGATCCCAACAAAGGTTTTAAGCCAGGCCCAGCTGAGTGGCCTAAGTAGCTTGTTCGAGGAGCCAGGCCCAGGCAATCAGAGCACGACTAAGAACTCATGGTGGAATTACAGGGTGCGTTCAGACCCACCATGGTGACCCCCTACTCCAGAGTGATAAAGTTTGCTCTTTGTGAGTCAAAGGTGGTGATTAGCTGTGGACAGGTGGGGGTGAATGCTGGAATTCCCAGCAGCCAGATTGGAAGGGTTAATGGGAGTGGCCGAGCCAGCGCCAGCCCTTGGTGCCAGGGGTGGGCGCCAAGGGCAGTGGAGGGGGTGGTTGCTGGCACTGTGTGTTGCCTCCGGCTTTTGTTCTGGGCCCTAAGCCCAGGATTGAGATGCAGGGTGTGTGTGTGTGTGTGTGTTGTATGTGTGTGTGTTATATGTGTGTGTGTACATGCAGACATGTGGATAACACTGAATATATGGTAGCAAAGGGGCCTCCAATCGATCCCCTACTGATTTCGGACAGTGTTATCCTGCTCAGTGCCTCATTGTTTCTCCTAGGAAGCCCCAGTTTTGGAGAGGGGAAGCCAGGCTTTAGCCTTCTGTCCCAGGGATGGAGGACCCCTGACCCTGCCTCTCTCCTCACAGGGGACCCCTGACCCAGCCTCTCTCCCCACAGATGAGCAGCAGCTGTTCAGGGCTGAGCAGGGTCCTGGTGGCCGTAGCTATAGCCCTGGTTCCTGCCTCCTCCCCTTGCCCCCAAGCCTGGGGCCCCCCAGGTGAGAAGAACAAGCAGTTTCTGACTCCCAGCTCTGACTTGGGATTCGCCACAATTACTGTGGCCCTTTCTCCTGGCTAAAATCAGCTCCCCTTTCGCCTTAATCCCTGACAACCTGCTCTTCCTCTGCCCTGTCCTCTGCCCTGTCTGCAGATTATAATGACCTGATACTTCACTCAGCAGCTCTACCCAGGGTTTAGTAGTCTGCTCCTCTCCTTTACTGTGATAAAGTGGAGGAGGGGGGCTGGGAGGGGCGGGTGTGAAGAAAGAGCCTTACCTCCGAATGCCCTCCACAGGGGTCCAGTATGGGCAGCCTGGCAGGCCAGTGAGGCTGTGTTGCCCCGGAGTAAGCTCTGGGTAAGTGCCTCACCTACTTTTTGACGCTGTTCACCCTCTGATGCCCTCCCACCCTTGACCCTGCCCAGTGTGACCCTTGCCTTGCTGTCCTAACCCACAGACAGTCCTTGTTCCACAGAGAATTCAGCCATATGCATTGAGCACTGTGAGTGCCTGGTCTGTTGTAGATTCCAGAACAGCACAAGCCAGGCAACTTGGCCTGTTCTCAGTGTTTACCTCCTTTTGGGGAAAACAGACAATAAACAAATAATAATCTTGCTAGATAGTAATGCTTGCAGGACAGAAAATCCTAAATCCTGACGTTGAAAAAAAAAAAACCAAGCCAGGCGTCGTGGCTCATACCTGTAATCCCAGCACTTGGGAGGCTGAGGCAGGAGGATTGTTGGGAGTGCGAGACCAGCCTGGGCTACAAAGTGAGCTCAAGGCCAGCCTGAACTGCATAGTTCGAGACCCTGTCTCAAAAAAGACAAAAAAAAAAAAAAAGAAAAAACACCCTTAAAAGTGGCAGTAGTTATTTTTTGTTCACTATCAGGAAAGGTCTCCCTGAAGCTGATTTCTTAAGGTCAGCAGAGAGGCAGGCACACACACATGTCACAGCAGTTAGTACAGGTGCCCTGAGGTGGGCATAAACTGAGTACGGCTCCCTGTGCGCTCCTTCTCTCACCTTTCCCCTTCCTTTGTCTTTCGTCCAGTTTTTAAATTTTTTTTCCCACTGAGAATCAAACTCATGGCCTCATGCTTGCCAGGCAGGGGCCTTGCTGCTGAGCTGTATCCCTGGCCCTCTCATTCTTTGATAGGGTCTTACTACAACATAGTCCAGGCTGAGTCCAGGATGGCCTTAAAAGTTGCAATCCTCCTGTCTTAGCCTCCTGAGTGATAAGATTCCAGGTATGAGTTGAGTAGTTATGGAAACAGGAACCAGAGCAATGTGGACAGAGTTCACAGGCTATGGGGGAAGTAGGAGCTGAGGAAGAACAGGAAGGGCTGGATTGCAAGGATCTTTGTAAGCCAGTGAAGAGAACTTGGATTTTATTTCAAGTGCTGGTAGAAGGCTGGGGAAAACGGTAGCTTCTGTCAGTCATTACTTCCTCTCATCTCCAGGACCCCTGTGTTCTGGTTTCGGGACAAGGAGCCAAGGCTGCTCCAGGGACCTGACTCTGGACTGGGGCATGACCTTGTCCTGGCCCGGGCAGACTCTGCTGATGAGGGCACCTACATCTGCCAGACCCTGGATGGTGAACTTGGAAGCACAGTGACCCTGAAGCTGGGCTGTGAGTTCAGGATGGTGGCAATGGTGAGCCATAGGGTTCTGGAGAGAGTCCAGGACCTGGGCAGGCCTCGTGGGATAGGGAGGTACTACTGGTCTCCAGCTGTACTCTCTGCCGCCAGATCCCCCTGCTCGTCCTGTGGTCTCCTGCCAAGCTTCTGATTATGAGAACATCTCCTGCACTTGGAGTCCCAGCCAAGTTAGTGGTTTACCCACCCGCTACCTCACATCCTACAGGTGTGTGCACGATTGAGTGTGGGCGCCTTTGTACTGGGATGTGCCAGCGCAGTGGGGGTGTGGGAGGCAGGAAGGGAGGTCCTGCCATGGAGAGGGTGGAGGGTTCCTTTTCTTTCCTGACCTTAGACAGCCCCTTCTCCCCCAGGAAGAAAATGTTCCCAGGAACTGGTCACCAGAGGTAGGACATAAGGGAGAGGCTGGGGGGCTCTAGCTTGTGTCCCACAACTGTTTTTTCCAAATCCCAGGACTAAATCCTCCCTCCTAGGGTGAGTCTGTCCACAGGGCAGCCATGCCCACAGGACCCTCGAGGGGCTGCACGCTGTGTTATTTATTGGGCAGAGTTCTGGAGCCAGTACCGGATTAATGTGACAGAGGTGAACCCACTGGGGGTCAGCACTCGCCTGCTTGATGTGAGCTTGCAGAACATCTGTGAGTACCTTCTCCTAGGTCCTTGCCTTGGAGACCCCAGCAGACTCAGAACTGTCCCTACACAGTTCCCAAGCAATTCCCTCCCAGTGTGGACTCCACACATAGGCGAGGCTGCTTCATTACTCACAGGTCCTTCCCGGCGGCCTAGCCTGCGGGCTGATTCCCTGCTTTTAGGGCCTGTGCTCGCTCTAAGGCAGCTGAATCTCCTGCCAGATATTCCTCCCTCTTGCCCTGTGGGTAGGAGGAACTAAGCTTGGGTGGAATAGTGTGGTGGCCCATGCTTTTAATTTGAGCTATTTGGGAGGCTAAGGCAGGAGGATCGCAAATCAAGTCCAGTTTGAAAAATTCAGCAGGACCCTGTCTCAGATTAAAATGAAAAGGGCTGGGAGCTGGGTGCAATGCCTGTGATCCCAGCACTTGAGAGGCTGAGGCAGAAGGATCACCATGAGTTTGAGGGCACCCTGGGCCGCGTAGTGAGTTCAAGGTCAATTTGAATTCCATAGTGAGGACCCCTGCCTTCCCCAAATACTGGGCCTCTGGAAATAGGTTAGTGGTAGAGCACTGGCAGCATGGTTTCAAGCCCAGTACCACAAAGCAGACAAAAAACAAAACCAAACCAAACACCTCAACTGGAATTTGGACCAAATGTCTTTAAAAAAACCAAACCAAACCAAACCAAACCAAAACAAAACAAAACTTTTATGCGTGCAGCATTCCAAAAACTACCCCCAGAATTCAGCTTATTTTATAAGGATGACAGAGTTTAATAGATGATCAAGTTTAAGGTCTCCCACCCTACATGGAGCAGCTGGCAAGCTTGGGAAGTGGTGGGAGGGTTTGGAAACTGTTGCCTGCCCTGACTTTGTATCTGGCCGTCCTCAGTGCGCCCTGACCCACCCGAGGGGCTGCGGGTGGAGTCAGTTCCTGGTTACCCACGACGCCTGCATGCCAGCTGGACGTACCCCTCCTCCTGGCCCCGACAGCCACACTTCCTGCTCAAGTTCCGACTGCAGTACCGGCCAGCACAGCATCCCACCTGGTCCACGGTACAGTCTGGGATGTAGTGCAGCCTCAGGCTGTGGGTCCTGTCTCTGGTTTGGTGAGCCCATGTGTCCTGCATGGCTTCCAGGCACTCGTAGTTCCCAGGAGACCTGGTACCTCCCCTTACAGAGAGTTTTCTGGGGGCCAAGCTTTGTGCTGGGTGCTGGGTTGTAGTGCTGTCCATGGGACTGTCACTACAGTGTGACGTAAACTCATCTGTGGGAAGACAGCGGCTCTGAAAGAGTAATGTTTCCAGGAAAAGAATGCTTTTCACCCCAGACACATCCTCTTATACTGTTTCATGCCCAGCTGAGGGTAATAGTGGATTCCCACCTCTGGCAATGCGAAAGATTGGCTGGCATTGGGTTGGAGAGCAGCAGGAGCAGCAGATCAGAACCCACATTTGGTGCTGTCTCCCAGGCTCTGTGCCACATATTTTACCTGCATGGCCTTGTTCAGGTGTATTCACCTCTGTCTCACAAATGAAGAAACAGGCACAGAGGCCCAAAGTTCACCCAGTAAGTGGTTTATTTGTTTTTGATTTTTGCTTTCTGAGACAGGGTTTCACTATGTAATTCAGGCTGACCTTGAATTCACTTTATGGCCTAGACTGGCCTTGAACTCACTGTGATCCTCCTGCCTCAGCCTCCTGAGTGTTGAGATTACACATGTGCACCACCACACTCAGTTTCTTTTTCTTTTTTTCTTCTCCTTTCCTTTTCTTCCTGCCCCATCATCTTTTCAGTAAGTGGCTTAGCAAAGATCTGAACTCAGGCAGGGCTTCTCCAAGTAATCACACTACTATCTTAGTCACTTTTGTTGTTGGTGAGATACAGTACCTGGCTTAGAGGAGGAGAGGGTTATTTTGGTCATAGTTTCAAAAGTTTCAGTCCATGGGTGGCTGGCTCCAAGGTAGAAACGACATGTCAGAGTGGGACAGCAGCAGAAAGCTAGCTGTTTATGTCCTGACAGCCAGGAAGCAGAGAGAGGGGAAGAGCTGGAGAAGGAAATATACCCTCTGCGCCAATCCTCCAGTGACCCACGTCTTCTGACCTCACCTCATGATGAGTTAGCCATAGTGCCCCAAGATTTTGCCACCCTTCACATAAAGAAGCTTCTGGAGAATACCCCAGATCTAAACTACAGCAACTGGCATCTTCCACCTGGATGTGGTGGTGCCCACCTGTAATTCCAGTACTTAGGAGGCTGAGCAGGAGGATCTGAGTCTGAACTCCATAGTGAAATCTTGTCTAAAAACAAACAAAATAAAATAAACAAACAAACGACCATGTTCTGAACACCAGGTATAAATCCTACCACACTAGCCATACAATTTTAAGGCTTAGACTCTCCATATGCTGAAGGGGATGGCACTGGGAAGAAGGGAAACTCATTTTGACTGTGTGGGTAGGCTCTGTGCTGACACCCTGATAATGCTGTCACTTGTAGGTGGAGCCCGTTGGCTTGGAGGAGGTAATCACAGATGCTGTGGCTGGGCTGCCTCATGCATTGCGGGTCAGTGCCAGGGACTTTCTGGATGCAGGCACCTGGAGCGCCTGGAGCCCGGAGGTGTGGGGGACCCCAAGCACTGGTAAGAACGAAGCCAGAGGAAAGAGCAGAGGCCCCACCCACAGCATCGAGTGCCCAGATCAGTTTGCTGAAGGCAGTCATGTGGCACATGCCCCACGACTACTCTCCCAGGCCTTAGCCTTGATGGCCTGTAGTTGTGCCCTAGCTCCATTCCTGCCTGTTCTGCTTCTATAAGCCACATTCCCAAAAGCCTTTCAGGCCCCATGTCTGAGAGCCCTGCATCCGGTTCAGGCCCCGGCCCCAGCCCCTCTGTGAGTGGATTCTTCTTAGGTCTCACTTCCCTTAGGGCCCCTCACGAATGAGATTCCTGATGCGGACAAGCTTCACACACAGCTTGTGGACAGCACAGCTCCTCCGAGGCCTTCTCTGCAGCCAGACCCTCGGCCACTGGGTGAGCTTGGGTAGATGGCAGAGGCTGTAGAGAACGGGCTGTCTCTGAGAGACGGGGCACCAAGTAGGTCAGGCTGAGTGTCACAGAGGTGATGTGGCTGTCTCTCTCAGATCACAGGGACCCTCTGGAGCAGATGGTTGTGCTAGTGTCTTTGGGAATCTTTTCTATCCTGGGACTGGCAGCTGGGGCTTTGGCACTGGGGTGCTGGTAAGTGACTGCCCTTGGTCCCTCAGTCTCAGATCCCCACAGAAACCACATTCCATTTCATCCTTTATGACTTCCCGGAGACTTTCCAATAACCTCTCTGATTTAAACTCTCACCCCATCCTAATCCCCACACCCCACTTTCATGATTCTCACTGATTCTGCTCTTGACCCTTTACTAATACAAATGCTCTTGAAGCCAGGTGTGGTGTATGCCTGTGATCTCAGCACTCTGAGAGGCTGAGGCAGGAGGGTCTCAAGTTGGAGCCCAGCCCAGGCAGTTTAGTGATATGGTGAGACTGTGCCTAAAAATTAAAAATTAAAAAAGGGGGACTGAGAATATAGCTCAGTGCAAAGGTTCTGGATTCAATGCCCAATACCAAGAAAGTACATTTAAAAAACACATTTGAAGGAGACTGTGATCCCCTACATTGTTAGGGGCACAGTTGCCTTTTTGTGCCCTAGGCTGAGGCTGAGATGGGGCGGAAAGGATGGACACCGAAAGCCTGGATTCCTGGCCTCGATGATTCCAACTGAAAAACTTCCAGGTGCGTAGGCTTCTCTGTTTAGACCTGGGATCTATACCATCATTTTGAGATTGTTTGCCTTAAAAGTTAGGTGCCCTCCTGATTTTGTGGATGCTGGGAATCTGAGTTAATTTTCCCATTCTTATGTCTAGGCTTTCATTCTTTAGTCTCTAGGCTCAGAATTGGTCTTCTTCCTTTCTCTCAGGGCACTAGGGACTTTGGGTAGGCTGCCTTCCCATTTTCAGGGCATTAAGACTCAGAGCTGATGCAGGCGTGGTGGCACACATACCTGTAGGCCCAGTACTCACTTTTTGTTTGTTTGTTTGTTTTTTGAGACAGGCTCTCATGATGCAGCTCAGGCTAATATTGAACTCACAATGATTCTCCTGCCTCTGTTACCTGAGTTCTGGGATTATAGGCATGAGCCACCATGCCTGGCTATGCTTGGGGGGCTGAGGCAGGAGAATTGCTTCAAATTGGAGGTCAGCTTGGGATACATTGTAAGTACAAGGCCAGCCTGAAATATATAGTCAGACTCTGTTTTAAAAAAGAAGACTCAGAGCTAAGTATCTGTCCTTTCATTTGGGATGTCTTGGATCAGTGCTTGTTCCCGTCTCTTCATCCCTCCTCTTTTTGTAGTACTGATGATGGAACCCAGGGACTTGTATGCTAGGCAGCTGCTCACCACTGAGCTATATCCCCAGCTCTTTTTGAAACAGGGTCTTGCAACATTGTTTATTGCTTATGCTAGTCTTGGGTTTGTGATCCTCCTATGTCAGCCTCCTGAGTAGCTAGGATTGCAGATGTCCTCCACTGTGCCTGACTCTAACCTCATGCTTGATATGCCCGGGCTAAGTTGTTTCTGCCTTTTTTTTTTTTTCCCCCGGTACTGGAGATCGAACTCACAACTTCACGTTTGCCAAGCAGGCGCTTACGCCGCTGAGCTACACCCCCGGCCCCTATGCTTCCTCATCTATTTTTTTTTTTTTTTTTTACTGGGGATTGAACTTATGACCTTGTGCTTGCCAGGCAAACTTGTGCCACTGAGCTATATCCTCGGCCAATGCTTCCTCATTTTTAAGATTTTGAGGCTCCTTCAAAGTTGGGCTCTTTATCCTTTCTCAGAGTGTTGGGTTCAGAACTGGGTCCACCCCCCGCCTTCATTCTCAGGACGTGAGAGTCAATACCTGGTTCTCTCCTGATCTGCCTCTTGCTCTCCTAGGTACTCCAGACCTGTAGAAGACCCACAAGTGCTCCAGCTGATTCTGCCTGTAACTGTCTTGCTGGTGTGGATGGATGGACAAATAGAACCCTACAGGGCAGCAGATCCCTGTGGGTGGGGGTCTCAACTGGGACTTCTGTCTGGAGCCCGTTTCTTTGAGACTCTGTGTTCCAAACTTGCCAGCTGAAAAGTGTCTGGACCTCTGACTTCATGCTGGAGCTGAAGTCCACCTTAAGGATGTCTGTAGATGTGCATGTCTGTGTTTATGTGTGACCGTGTGTATGTGAGGTGTGGAACATGTGTTCTTTGCATATATGTATGTACATAGGTGCCTGGAGAACGTGCGGGTCCCTGGCTCTTGGCCTTGCCCCTTGCAGGTGCTGTGAAGATGCAAAATAAAGAGAATGAGGAAGTTCTTGGAGATTGCACTCTGAGATTGTGTCCACTGATGCTTTATTATTTCGGGTATTGGCAGCTCCAGACTATTTCCTCTCACAGCCCCAGATTTGGGTTGCGCAGAGTCCCCTGGAACCTTTTCCCATGGCGCTCAAGCCACTGAATCAGGCTGCGATTCTTGGGGTGGACACAGACACTGCGCTCAGTCAGGTAAAGCCTGTGAAGGAAAAGGTTTAAACCTGTGCCCATGCTTTGGGGGATGGTTACAGTCCACGGATGGGGGAAGGGCCAGATGAAACGTGGAGCCAGCATCAAAATCAGAAGTTGGGGCTGGGGTTGGGATCAGCATCAGGGGTTGGGACTGAGGTCAGAGTTAGGTATTGAGAGTGGGGTCAGAGCTCACACAAAAGCCTGGAGGTGACAGTCCCCATCAGCCTCCTGCAGTTCTACCCAGATGACCTTCCTCAGTATCTTGTTTGGGAGTGGCCGTCTGTAGAGCTGCGTACAGCAGGTAGTGATGGGCTGCAGTAGCGATGCTATAGAACAACAGGGTCATGAGTTCAGAAGGGTCCAGGCCCAGAACTGGCCTGAAATTTGAGTTTCCTGAGCCCTTTTCATCTGATTCACCCAGACCTCTAGCCTTTTTGTTTTATTTTGTTTCTTGAGACAGCATCTCACTATGCAGTTCAGGCTGGCCTTGAACTCACTATGTAGCCCAGGCTGGCCTCAAACTCTTGGTTATCCTCCTGCCATAGGTGCCCAAGTTCTGGAATTACAGGCATGTGCCACCACACCTGGCAAGATCCCGAGCCTTCTATGCCCCAGGTGCTTACCTGCTCCAGGGTCTGGGCTCAGGAGTAGCAGCAGCAGCATGAGGATGCTGGTGGGTAAAAACAGCTCCTTCATGCTTCTCAGCTGATATTTGCTTCTCTCCGCTCCTTCTCCCATACCTTTTATCTGTGAGCATTTTACCTGGGGCATCAGGTGAGTCAGAGACAGGTGGAGATGTACTGCTTATCTTGTGACATTCTTTAGCTCTAATTGCTGGCCTGTTGCCATGGACCCCTTCTTCAAGGACTATCATTTCTAATGGGCTCTTGAGCCTTCATCAGAGAAGCAGGGGAGGGGGTCATACACGATGTGGGGACTGAAGGTACAGTGACTAACAGTTAAGGACCACAGTAACATGTATTAATAGACATTCAAATTCATATTCCCATAGCCACACATTCAGTCTTATGAATAACCTCACTCACACCCATGATTGGACCACCATAGAAAAAAATCATACAGGTCTAGGAAAAGTCCCCCTCCCACACAGTTGTTTTCCACAGCCATCCAATCACACATTCGTATCAGCACACACATTCTAACACAGGAATTGCAAATGGGGTGGAAATGGAGGACAGGCCAGGACTAACTTGCCTTCCTGCCCTGGCCTGCTTGTCTTATCAGGGAACTGTTGGGAATGGGTCCCTAAACAGGCTCTTCTGGCCGAGGAGAGGTCTTAGCTGGGCCAGTTCTGTTCAGAGAAGCTGGAAGAAGCTGACTTTTCATTAGTGTTGTGGGTCCCCTGGAGACGGTGAAGTGGGGGAAGATAAGACAAGAGAAGGTGAGGTACATGAGAGGGGTTAAAGGCTCTTCGGTGCCAGATGGCTGTTGTCAAATTTGGTGGAAGAAACAAGAAATGTTACCTTCTTGTTTTTGCCAGCTCTGTTTCAGGAATGAAAGTGTGTTAGCAGGAGCCTGGGGTTTCTAGACTCAGTCCCTGGCTAGTTAAAAACATCAGACTTGAGCATAAATTATGTTTCTTTTGTTCTACTCAAATTCCAGCCTCCTTCCTGGACCCCCCCCCCCCCCGACATTTCAGTAATATCCACTTCTAGCTCCTGTACCTTCTGCACCCATCCTCCAACCATAGCCCCAACTGGATCTTCTCATAAGTCTCCCTCCTTTCTTCCTTCTGTCCAAATGCAACATTTGTACCCTCCCGATCCAGTTGTTTCCAGAATTCTGGAAACTGCCTTGGATGGAGCAGGAGTGGGTGCATGTTTCCGGATCAGTGGCACAAGCTCCTTGAAAAACGTCCCATTCCTGGCTGGGGATTTTAATTTTCAAGTCCTGCTCTATATTTGAAACACAAATTGAGTCATATGTCAATAGGTCTTTCCTGAATGTGGTAGGGGTGTCTTCAGTGTTCTGCTCTGGGCCAGTCACTCTCTGTACGGGGTAAGCTTTCTCTTGGAGGACTCATACTTTCTTTGGGTGGCCAGGGTGCTTCAACATTTAGGAGGGGCTCCAGCTCCCACAGTAGGGATTAGCCACCTTCCAGGCTGAAAACCTGGGCTTCTTCTCTCCTGTCCAGGGTGAAGCCTGAAGGCCCCTCTTTGGAATGTGTCCCAGGGATCTTCAAGTCTTCTGACAGCATCCTAGTAAGCTGTGGGCCCAGGGAGGATACAACATTCCACATTTGAAGGAATACAAAAATAGGTAAAGAGGCAGGGAACTGTCTTGAAAGTGGCCACAGAGGTCACTTAGCTAGAATTTTTGGTACCACAGGCCTTAGGACCCTTCTCCCATTCCCAGTCTGGACATGTCCTCCAGAATTTGGGTGTGTCTGAGAATATCTCAAGGAGACCTCCTAGGATCCATCCTCTTGTCACAGACCTTGTCCATCAGCTGATTGCTTGCCACATAGTCTGTGGCCTTTCTTGGACTTCTTATTCCAGAGAGCTTTAGAGGTAAAAAACAAATCTCTCTCTTTTAGTTTTTTCAAAAATAAGGCCAAGTCCTCCCCAGCCACAATCTGCTATGGCAGAAGCAGCCCAAAGTCAACATTGGATCCAGCCAGAAACTGGGCTGTCTCTGTAATTTAACTACCTGAGCCAGCTCTAACTGAAAGCAGGCACATGTAACAGCCCCTGACTCTCATCACTTTAAGAATTAGTGGGTCCCTGGCTGATTAGCTGACATGACAGAAAGGGCTGGCAGGGAATACTCTTCTAGAGAAGTAGCAGAAACATCCAGGTTGGCAGGTGGCAAGTAACTCTAAAGTTGGGATCAGACTGAAAGAAGCAGCTTGGGATATGAACTGTAGGAAAGGCCCCGACCCACACTGCTCTTCAGACAAGATATGGGAGGCAGGTTCTGGGACTCAGCCCCTCTTCTCAGTGATAATCTACTCTCTACAACCTTGGTTTAGTGTTTTAGAGTCACTCTGAGGAAAGACAGATTCTTCAGAGATCTGGCAAATTCTTGGCTAGAAGGAAGGTGGTGAAGGAGAGCCAGGGTTGTAGAGCATTATCAATGGAGGATAAAGTATGGAGAGAGGTTAGACCAGGATTATTTGTTTGTCTCCATTTAGGTTGCCAACAAAGATTGGAGTTTAGGAAGGGAAAAGGAGGGAGGCAGTCACTGACAGCCACAGGAACCCTCAGATTGATGAGGGGCTCTTAGCAGTATCAGGACTCTTGACCTGGAAGGGTTCCCTTCCTGGAAAGAGGCCCTCTGAGTAAGGAAGCAGCGGGTGTGAGGAGGGACTCCCAGGGTGAATGACGGCAGAGGCAGCACAGAGAGGAAGGCAGTACTATGGGCTTGGCTTTAAATCTTTAATGCACCGGCTGGTTGGACAGCGGTGGCGGGAGTGCGGCAGAGAAGGCTACGACCCGAGCGCTGGGGAGCAGGGCCCAGGCCGCTGGACAGACAGCTCATCAGGCCCCGCAGAGGCTCCAGCTTCTGCTCCCGAGGGTGCGCTGAGCTGTGGGGCGACCCAGCACTGGCATGAGGCAGGGAGGGGGCGCTCAGACTCCCCCAAACTGTCCTCGGAAACAGAGCCTTCTCCATGCCCCGATCCAGCCCGCGGGGTCGCAGCTCCCTCACCTCCTCTCCCTACGCCACATTCGCAACCAGGGGAAAAAGTAGAAACAGCCCCAGTAGATCCTGCAAAAAAAAAGGCAGAGCAGGCCCGGCCGGCGGGCGGGGCGGGGCTGACCCTCAGACCCCGCCCCAGAGCCGCGCCCCCGGCGGCTCCGCCCACTCCGCCAAGGCGGGTCCATCCGTAGCCCACGCCCCCTAGGGTCCCGCCCCCGCTCCCGCGGTGCACGCCCTCCCCCACCCCGAGTTTCCCGGGTCCTCCTCCGCAGAAGCACGCCTCCACTCACTCCTCTTCCGCCTCCAGCGCCACTTCGTATCTCCGCAATCCGGGCATGTCCTGGGCTCCGACTGTCTCCTGGGGAGCGGCAGGGTTGGACCAAGTATTCCCTAGCCCCAGGTCCCCTTCTCCATCATTCCCGGGACGAATCTAGTCACCAGGTAATCGAGGCAGGTGCTCCCCAGACCAATTGCCACTCGGGACGGGGTGGGATTGGAGATTTGGGAGGCACTAGAAATCAAGGCGTTGGGAGACGGTTATTTCGGAGGTCGAGGGTATGTAGGGAGCCAGGGCAAGAGGTTTGGCAGTCATGGATCAGGGAGATTGGGTACCCTGGGTGAAGATTTTCAGGGCCTGGGGTCACCTGGAGGGGGGCTGAGGGGTTGGCGCAGCCTAAACTCCCGCCTTCTCTGGCTCCTCCCCGGAAACGGACCGTTACCATTACGTCACAGGGATGGCTCCGCACACTAGGGGGTGGGGCTTGCCTATCACCCGGAAGAGGCGGGGTCAGCACCTCTTCCAGGAGGAGGCTCAAAACGTCACTCTTAAGAGGCGGGAGCTAGTGTCCTTAAAGGTTTATTAAACCGGGAGGGCACAGGACCCTCTTTTATAGGGGTGGAACAGATTTCAGAGCTACACCCTGGGGGGCTAAGGCCTCAGCGCCAGGCAGCAATAAAAGAGCTCTGGGATTCTGTCCAGTACTGTTTTTCCAGCTCCCTCCCCAACCCTCCTTGGCTTCTGACCTGCCAATTGCCTTTCGTGTCTACCCTGCTCTCCTTGCATGACCTTGGGCTGAGAAGGAATAACACCCTACCTCCTTTTCCAAGAACTCAGTTCTGAGCAGGTTAAGCTGTGGAAATACTTGTCAGCTGAGTGACCTTGGCCAAGTCACTCAAGGGTCAGAGTATCACTGCCTTCCCTTTCTTGAGCTGAGGTCAGTCATTCTTTGTAGTTGTTCAGTCAACAGCTGTTTACTGAGTGTCTGCTGGGTGCCAGACACAGTAGTAAAACAGGCAGTTTCCACCCTCACACAGAGCCTATGAGGTGGAGTAGAGATGGGATCAAAAGAGGACAATCAGTTTGTTTCAACAGACTGGCTGGGACAGGGGTAGAGGATGCAACACCAGAGCCAGTAAAGGGGCTGGAAATAACTTCCTATTCAAGGTCCAGTACTCAGGCGGCTAGTTGTGTGTGTGGTGGTGGTTGTGGTGGTGAGTGGGTGTGTGGGTGTGGCTGGACTGACTGCGGGGCAGAATGATCAGAAATGAGTGAGATGAAAGTTCTTTCAGGCTGAAAAGGGAAAAATGGATACTATCACCCTCTTCTCCCATTGCACCCTCTTTCTTCTTTCCATAACTGTCTTTCCTAGCTTCAGCTGTGACAGATCCATGGGTGTCAGATGTCTGTTTTAGAAGCATTACAATCTGGATACAATCAAGGCTGAGCTCTTGCCACACCTACCCTCTCACTTGAACCCATGCTTATACTCACAGTTACACAGACACTTCAGGCCCTCCCTGTCCTGCTGGGTCAGGTCTGATGCAGGGCAGCTGGAAGCCTGGGCCTCCCTCTGATCCTTGGTTCCCCAGGCCAGGTGATTCCTGTCCTTTCTCTCAGACACAGGGCTCCCTCTGGTGCTGTCAGGATTTAACTGCTGTGGCATTTGCCCTGAAGGGAGAGGAGAGGCAAAATCACCAGCAGGAAGATGGAGGCAGGCTGGGGAAGGCTGGGTCTGCCTTGGCAGGGGACTTCTTTAGTGTCTGGATAATTTGGTGCATCCAGGCCTATCTGGGGGGTGCACTGAGCTTGTGTCCTGTCAGTGTGGTGAACCTGGAATTACGTAAACGATAGAACCCTTGGAACCCAGCTTCCTGGAAGGCTGTGGTGTGAGGGGCAGAATCTGGGAGCCACATCTGGGAACTTGTTTTAGAGGCATCTTGTGGGAGGGACTGGGAAAGGGGTCTGTCAGGGCTGGGATGCAGGAGTGGGGAATTTGGAAAGGAGGAGCCTGGACACTCCTCTCACCCTCCATACACAGGACAAAGTACCCTGCAGTCATCCAGAAGTAAACACTGGTTTACTGAAAAGAATATTCAGCTTTACTCAGAGCTGAGGGCGGCCATTGGCATTAGAGCTGAAGGAACCCCAAGGCAGAAGGCACATCCCTGGCCAGAATTGAGGAGGTCTTTGTCTAGTGCCGTAGTTTTGGTGTTGCTCTCGCCTGTATTCATGTGCACTGTCTTCCTCTGTGAAGTCAGGCTGGAAAAGACAGGTTCCTAGACCAGAGCAGCCAGTTAGAGGCTCCCCATCCAAGCACTGGCACATGTAGGGTTGCCTGGGCATGGACACACACATCATACAGTTTGCACACATGGGACACAGGCATATCCAAGCATACTCACAGACTGCACAGGAATGTACACAGTGCACAGCTATATGCACAACATGCAGGGACACACAGTCACCAGAGGGCACAGCCACTTAGCACATGTACAGTCTGGTTCATTCTTAGATTTGGATATTCACATGAACTCAGTTCTAAGACTGCTCTGATAGCGACTGTGCCTTTCCCCTTACTGTTCCATTTGATTGCATGTACATTGGAGAGAACATCAGTGCACTGAGAAGAGGGCTGTTGCCTTGCAAGAGGCCACGGAAGATGCAGAAGGACAGCTGGCCGGATCTCTGGAGCAGCAAGTGTGTTTGTGAATGTGTGGGAGTCCTGCTTATGTGGTCTGTGTGAAGGTGCTGTGTGTGAGGCTGGATCTCAGAGAGAGCAGAAAATCGTCTGAGGGTGAGAGTCTCTGGGTGTATGTGTGTAAGCCTGTGAGAGCCTGCAGCTGTTTCCTGTTCACAGCCCATGAAATTTCCATTTTCTCTACCCAGAAATCCTCCCTTCCAGGGTATAATAAAAAATTTGATGGGACTTTCCCCTTCTTTGTGGTGTATAACAAAGTCCCCCCTCCTTGGGAATTGAACTCAGGACCTTATGCTTGCCAATTCATGCAATTCATGCTGTTTATGCCGTTGAACTACATCTCCAGCCCCAATAATAAAGTACTTGACTGGCATTTGTCCCTGGTTCTTAAGAAGTCTAAACCTTTGAAATTTCCCAAGTGCAGACATAATCTCTGACATGAGGGTTTTGCCTTGGGATGTTTTGTCTTTACAGTGTTAAGTGGTATGATATGCACTCAGTATCAAGCATACTTCAAATTTTGATCCTTTTCCAGCCCTGTGATATGGAGTACAACACTTTTTTTTTTTTTTTTTTGAGACAGGGTCTCATGTAGTTCAGGTTGTCCTCCAACTCACTACGTAGCCAGGTTGGCCCTGAATTCATGCATTCTTCCTGCCTCAGCCTCCTGGGTGCTAGGATTGCAGGTGTGTGCCACCACACCTGGTTTATATTTTTTTAGTGCTGGGTGATGAACCACAACTCCCAATCAGCCATGCAGTCATGAGGATACATGTCCAAAACTAGAGCATACTATACTGATAAGCTAGGATGTTTAGTAGGTTAAGTGAAGGTAAATTAAATACATATTTGACCTAGGATAGTGTTCGTGAATGTTTCAGAACTGTCAGTGATAATCACTGGCTGTGACACATGTGCCACAGATTTGCCACCACTGACTTATGATACTTTAAGTTTATGATGGTTTTTGAGGGGTGTGTTGTAACCTCAGTGTAAGCTGAGCATTTTTAATAAGAGTAGCCTCTATTCATGAACAATTTTTTTGTTGTTGTTATTTTGTTTTTGAGATGGTCTTGCTACATAGTTCTGGCTGGTCTTGAAGTCACTACATAACCCAGGCTGGCCTCGAACTCATGGCAATCCTCCTGCCTCAGCCTCATAAGTGCTGACCATGAAACCTTTGGATCACATCTGAGATGACCCAAGATGAGGGCTGGTCACTGTAAAAACCATATGAGCAAAGAGTTGGGATTTTTGAGTCAGCCTGGACACAGGGAGAAAAGAAGGGCAAGACACTGAGTTCTAATATGTGGCCAGCAATTCAGTTATGCCTATGTAGTGATATTTCAATAAAGACTGAACACTAAAGCTTATAGAACTTCCTGTTGGAGAGCACATTCATGTGCCAGGAGGGTAAAGCATACCCTGTGTCTCCTTGGTACAGAAACTACATTTGAGGACCTCCCAGAGTGTCCTTTGTATCTTGTCATTTGGATGTTCCTGATTTACAACCTAGGACTTCATATATGCCAGGCAGCTCTGTACCACTGAGCTACATCCCCAGACCTTTATATTTTGAGATGTCTCAGGAAGTTGCCCAGACTGAATTCAAGCTTGCGATCCTTCTGCCTCAGCCTCCTGAGGAGCTGGGATTATAAGCATTTGCCACAGTGCCCAGCTAAATGGCACTTTCTTAAATTTTGTGAGTCATTCTAGTAAATTACCAAAACTGAGAAGGCTTATGGGGACTTTCCAGACTTGTAGCTAGTTGATCAGGAATGTAGGTGGCTTGGGGATCCTACTTAGTTGGCATCTAGAGTAGGGCAGTCTTGTTGGAGAGCTACCCTCTAAATCCATGAGGTTTGATAACTCTTGGTGTTTGATGTCTGAACTCAGGGCAGTGTGTGAGTTGGTAGCAGAGTACCTTTTCACTGGCTGTGTGCCCATTGTCTCCAACTGGAAGAACATTTTTTTCTCTCTTAAAACTTTTCTCAGTAGTCTCCGTACATCCATTTTTCACTCTGGCAGTGTCCAGCAGTTTGGACAAGGGGTGTGTGTGTGTGTGTGTGTGTGTGTGTGTGTGTGTGTCTTTTTGGAGAAGTTTGCAGTGTTAAAACCTTGGAGTTACTTGAGCTATTAGTCCCAAGCTGGAAGTGAGGGTTGGGATCAGAGGTCAGAGTAAGGTTTTCCCAAATTTCTCCTCCCTACCTTTTATCTCCAGTCTGAAGATACCTGGAGATAGGAATGATAGGAAAGATGTGACAGAGTCACTTCCCCAGATTCCTTGAGCACAATCAGGAGCAGGGCAGGGCTGGAGAAGATCCCTTCTCAGATTCCGTGCGTCTCCCATAGGCCCATCACAGTGCCTAAACATCATCTGAGACCCACTCTTCCCTTGCACAGGTAGAGCTAAAGGAAGGTTCTCTGGAGGCAGACACAGCTTCCCTATCTCACATTTCTGGGCCTTAGGATTTCACCCTTTAGCCTAGGCAGCAGTGCCTCTCTCCTCCATTCCCTTATATCACACAGCTGTCAGGGGACTGTCTAGAGGGGAATCTGGCCTAGAACACCCCTGTCTTGGTTGGAGGTTTCAGTCCATACTCAGTTGAGGTTTCAGTCCGTACTCAGTTGGCTCCAATCAGAATGACATGGCTGAGGGGCAGTGGTTCATGGCTGCCATTGCAAACAGCAAAAAGAGAGACTTGCCTTTCTGCCACCACTACACTGTATGCTGGCTGCATCCCTGGGAGGGTGTAGCACTCACACCACCAATCCAAGCACTAGAAAATGAACAATCACAAACACTAGATTCAGCTGTGTCCATGATTGCATGAGGGGGGCGGCATCTGACATAAACCATGATTACCCCCTTCTGCAATATCCTTCCTATCCTGGGAAATGAGAGGAATTTCTGAGCAGGAGCTGGTCAGCTTACAGAGAAGGAAGGAAAGTAGGGGTGAGGGAGACCTGTGAAGCTGGTTCACTACACAGTGGTTACCCAGCATGATTAAGTCCAGTGAGACAGAGCATATATATAATGTGAGGTGGATTCGTGTCTTATAAATGGGATGACAGAAGCCTAGGTTCATTGTGAACTGGGCATCAAAGGCTCAAGAAAGCTGCTCAGGGCAGATGACATCTCAGCCACCCATGTTCCATTTGCACTGCAGCTGCAGGAGCCTGGAAACAGCTCATGCTGGATTTTGTGCCCTGGGGTGATGTGATTTAAGAGGCTGTAGCATGGGAGGGCTGTTTCTGAAGGGGCCTAAAAAAGAACTTGGTCTGTTTCAGCTCACTTTCAATGATCTCATTCCTAACATTTTCTAGTTACTCTTGAGAACCACAAGTGAGGAAATGTGTTGCATGGAGAGTGGAACTGGATCAATACGTTGAGAGCTACCCGGCAAGACCCAAGAAACAGACCAGGAAACCTCTCAGGACAGACTGTATCCAGCTCTAGGTTATGTGATGTGGCAGATTTCACCATAGGCTTGTTTTTCTGTTCCATCCATCCATCCAGCCGTGAGTCTGTGTGTTTACCCATTGTCTCTTCGTCAGCCCATTCTTGCTTTTCCATCATTTTTTTCTTCTATCTTTAGATCTTTATCTCCACTTATCTGTAGGTTCAACCATTATCTGTCTGTTAATATATCCACTTATCTGTCGTTTTGGTAATTCATATTTGTTGATACTTACACACCTCGATAAACTTTTTAAATTAATTGTCTCCTAACAACTCTTAAGAAGGTCGCATGGGCTGCTTTTGTTCTTGTACACCACTTCTCCACACTCCTGTCTGGGTTCCTGTAGGGAAACTCCTCTCCCGGTTCATGTGGTCAGGGTCTGGATGGCTGAGTGTTCTAAACACCAGACTCGAGCTCTGCTTCCCAGGTCTTGTGCTCTTGGTGGGGCTGTAAGCTTCAGTGCTCGGATTTGAGTCTCCTGCTTCCTGGACACTGTTGAGAGGGTGAAGAGCTGAATATGCATCAGAAGCATAGTTAACCAGAGCTTTTCATGAGATTTGAAGTTTGGATGCCAGAAGAAAGAGAGGCTCTGTTTTTTTTTTTTTTTCTTGAAACAGACAAATTTATTTATTCCTTTTGTTTTTTTAGGTACCAAGGATCAAAGGCCAAATTTATTTGAAACATGCAGTTTAAAAAGATTAGCACAAGAAGAAACAGAAAATTGAATAAATGTATGCACTTTAAAAAATTTGAATTTGTAATCAAAATTTCACATGAAGTTCTGGACCTAGCAGTTTTCACTCAAGTGTTTTGATAAACATTCACTAATAAATATCATCAGCCTTACACTTTTTTTGGAAAATAGAGAAGAGTGTAACAATTCTGTTTTTTAAAGGCAGTGGGAATCTATCCTAAAATTATTCCAGATAATATGGGTATGGGTAGAATATGCCAAATTTTTGATGAACATAGGTATAAAACTTCGTAGTGAAATTGAACTCAGAAATATATAAGAAAGATATTATATCTTAAGTGACATTTATCTCAGGAATACAAAGTTGATTTGATATTTAGAAATCAGTATAATTCACCACATTACAAAGGTAAAAGATAAGCTCATCATGGTGACTGATACCAGTAGTCCCACACTTAGGCTGAGGCAGGAGGATCACAAGTTTGAATCCCACCTAGGCAGTTTAGCAAAACTGGCAAGAAGGGGCTGGGGATCTAGCTCAGTGTAGAATGTCCCTGGATTTGATCTCTGGAACTGCAGAAAGGGAACGCAAAAGAAAAGCATAAGGAAAAGCTAAAGGAAGGAGAGGAGAGGAGGTATCAGCTTAATACATTAAAAAAATCCTTTGAGAAACTTAGCACTCATTTAGGTTACAGAAAACTCCTTAGTTTGATGAAAGGTATCACAACAATAACACTTATGAAATCTACTATGAAATCCTGAACAGTTCTAAATAAAACTGGGAAGAAGTCACTTTGGTACAAAATAGTATTGGAGGTTCTAACCAGTACAATTGGAAAGGTAACTAACTAAGAAATACGAAAAAAGTAACATTCAGCAATCATATGTATAAAGTATCAAGAACTTTTAACTGCTGAAACTAGTACATTATTTTACCAAGATTACTAATATATTAATGTAAACAAAGTAATTTCATTCTATATGCTAACAACAAGCAATTAGAAAATTTTATTTACAATAGCATATAGATACAAAATATTTAAAAATAAATTTAAGAAAGAACATGCAATAATATTCTGGAAAAAATCCAGAATATTAAATTAAAGAATTTAAATGAATGAAGGATTCTACTATGTCTGAGGTTTGGAAGTCTCAATGTTATTAAAGTCTATTCTCATAAGCACAAATCTTGGTCTCAATGATAAATTTAATAGACTGGATTCTAAAGTGAAATCGACATGTTATTTCAAATATATTTGAGATTCAAAGGATATAGAATAACCAAAATCTTGTAATAAAATCATAGTTATTGGATATTACCTATTTTAAAAACAAAAAAACTTGTAGAACTGCAGTAATAAAGATAATGTGGAGACAGGGTAGGCAATTAGGTCAGTCAAACAGTATAGAAACCAAAAATAGAACTATTTATATATATATATATATAATTTATATATATATATATATAATCATTTTAATTTTTTTGTTTGTTTTGTTTTTGGTCTTTGTGACCCCATAGCAAGTAGTAACTCTTTTTCTTTTCTGTTGTACTAGGAATCAAACTCACGACCTCTCATTTGCCAAACAGGCACCATGCCACAGAGCTATATTTCCAGCCCACAGGGACTCACCGTGCAGTTCAGGCTGGCCTTGAACTCACTTTGTAACCCAGGCTGGCCTTGAACTTGCAATGATCCTCCTGCCTCAGCCTCTTGGATGCTGGAATTACAGGCATGGGCCATCACACCTGGCTAATCACTTTAATTTTAACAAAAACATTAAGCCCATGACCTTCCTGCTGTAAGAGAAGGAACCACTGTCAACCCAGAATAAAACTGCCGGACAACATGTGACCCAGCCTGTGTAACCAATTATAAAATACCCTGCTATCAGCCTTTTGTACTTCTGCCTACAACATGTAAGTGTTTACTCAAAGGTGGGTCTGGTGATTTGGTGCTCAGTTTCCTCAGCCCCTTAGCGTAATAAAGAGTTGCCTTCCAACTCCGCAGTGCCTGTGTGTGTTCCATCCAATTCGGTCCTAGTTGTTTTCTATTACAAAAGTACAGCACATCATAAAGACAGAGAACATTACCCTTGTTCATGGAGATTTCTGTTGCGGAGAACAGAAAAGCAGGTGGGAAGAGAGTCTCTCTCCATAAGGACATGATCTCCACAGGTTTTTTGTCTTCTTTGTCTTTTAGCTGTAGGATCAATTTTGATGAAAAATTTGTCTAATGTCACTTCAATTTTCCTTCATGCACTGCATGACCCTCCAGAAATGAGAGACCGTGTTATCATCCATCATGTCCAACATTCTGTTGTAATTATGTCGGGTGGTGCTTCTCAAAGAAATCCTGGCACTTCATTCCATTTTCCACAATGGACTTGATCACATCACTGCTAACCTCCTCCCTCTTCCTCTCCCTCAGCAGGTGCTCCTCAACAGGCGCCCTCTGCTGCCCACTCTGCAGTTCAGCAAGGTCTTCAACAGCAGCGCCTCAACAAGCTCCTCTGCGTCTGCACCATCAGTGTCCAGACCCCTGCTCTTGCCCATGGACACAGTCTCCTTCTCTACCTGTGCCCCAGATCCTTCAGAGTCATGTTCAGTGTCCTCCAGGCTGAGTTTAAGGTCCAGTGTGTGGCATCTTCCCAGGCTCTGTCAGTGAGGCCGACACAGTGGAGGAATTCTCTCTGCATCAGGGATGTCTCCTGAGTGTCAGACACTGAAACACCCAGTGAATCCCTCCTTTATGTGCAGCTACTTGAAGTTGCAGGTCACTTGCTGGTCCCTGGGCTGCAGAAGAGGTGGCACGTTGTGGGGAGGAACTTGACCTTTCTGAAGTCACACTCAGGGTCCACATCATCCACCAGGGCTGGAGGGTGTTAGGGGCAGTGTCCGTCAGAAGAAGGCACCTTCCAGGCACTTGGGTGTCAGAGAGATACTTCTTAACAGTGAACATGAGCACCTTGTGCAGCCATTCCATGGACCCCTGCTTTCGCATTGGCTCCCCACGTGACAGGCAGTCTGACCTTGTTCACATTCTGCTCTTTGACTGCACGAGGGGGCTTAATCTTCAAGTGTGGCTTGCATTCACACAGCACAAGGGTCAGTCTGTCCTGTATGGACTTGTGCCCTGACAGTGCCTCTTCCTCCTGCATGGTAATGGGTTTGATTGGAATCTTCCAGAAGAGCCCTGTTTCACATGGCTATACACTTGAGCAACAAATCCTTCTGTCTTCACGAATCCCCTGAATGCTTTCTTGTTGGCTTCTGCAGCAGCCTTGTCAGAGCTGGAGCCTTACCATGTCTCAGCACACCATGAGCGTCACTTGCAGAATTTATCCAGCCACCCTCTAATGGCTTTAAAGTCGTCACTGCTGCACTTGTAGAGGGGTTTTGTGGACTAAACCACTCTCCAGTTTCTTGGCTTTTCCACAGATCACAGCTTTACTAATGCTGTCACTTGCCAGCTGTTTCTCATTCAACCACACTGACAAAAGTGTTTTCACCTCTTCCAACACTTGTGTTCCCCGCTTGGTTAACACTTTACTCCCTTTGTCATGTCATTTCCTTCAATGGCATCTTTGTTCTTTAAAACAGTTGAGACTGTCAACTTTGCCATCTTATACTCTGAGGCCAGAGGAGTCACAAGAATACCACGCTCATGCTTTTCTACAATTTCCTTCTTTAGTTCGATGGCGATTTTCTTCAAAACCTTCTTACTGTTATTCTTCTGCACATTTTTGTCATCTTCATTACTGCTCTGCACTTTTTTTTTTTTTTACTGCTGTGCTTGCCCTGCACTTCTTTGGAGCCTCACTAGCCTGAATAATACTGTACAGTATGTGTACACAGCGTACAAAAACCCGCAGCAAATGTGTACGGGTTTGTCTGTGACTGAAACCTTGACTAGAGAAAAGTGTAACCATGTGGCATATTTGTGTGAGGCAGATAACTGAGCTATATTCATCACCGGGTGCTGAGTTTGTTACTGGAAGCAAAGTTTTGCCTCACACTTCTACTTGCAGGCTGCATTGTTTGCAAACGGAAGTGTTCATGAACTGAGGTAACAGTATTTCCCACTACTGGAAGAGCGCCAATCTATAACAAGAATGTGACTCCTTCACGGAAAGAATTAGGAGTCAAGGGATGAAGATGTTGAATCTCTGAATCCTGGGCTAAAGACCAAGACTAAATCTCCTTAACAGATCTCAGTAGATGATGTCACAAAAGTTTTTTATTCTGAGACAAGGTTACACTGTGTAGTTCAGACTGGCCTTGCACTAACTATATGGTCCAGGTGGTCTTGAACTTGGGGCAGTCTTCCTGCCTCTGCCTCCCAAGTGCTGAGTTACAGGCGTGCGCTACCGCACCTGGTGACATGACAAACTTTATGGACCATGACTGAGCTGAGTTTTCACCATCTGCATTTGAAAGAGCCCTCACAGTATTCATTGTGTTGTTCCTGTGTACGGATGAAGCTCGATGGCCCACTTGTCTTCTGTGTCACCTTCCGTGTGTTGCCAGCATCAGATGCCCTCTGTTAGGGTTCTTGCTGGGGTGCAGTGAGGACAGAGTTCAGTCTGATTAACCGAACTCAAAAGTTCAGTTTTTTTGTTTCTTTGTTTTGCTTTCTGAGATAAGAGTCTTACGGTGTAGTTCAGGTAGACTTGGACTCCTTGTGGAGCCCAGGTTGGTGCCAACTCAGTGACCCTTGTGCCTCAGCCTCTTGAGTGCTGAGATTACAGGCATGCAGCATGATGCCTGGCTTAGAGTCCGGTTCTAAGAATAACCTTCAGTGTAAAGACATAGATTAATCTCTTATAAACTCTTGGGGCTGGGGATTTAGCTCAGCGGCATAAGCGCCTACCTTGCAAGCAGGCAGTTGTGAGTTTGATCCCTGGTACCGATAAAAAGGAAAAAGGCAAAAAAAAAAAAATCTCTTATAAACTCTGACTTTGTCTTTTTAATAGCCTTACTCCAACTCTTTTTTTTTTTGGTACTAGGGATCAAACTCATGACTTCACACTTGCCAGTCAGGTGCTGGTGCCGCTGAGCTAAATCCTTAGCCCTTTACTCAAAACTTAAATGTACTATTCCAAATCTAGAACTACGGCAGTGTTCAGCAAAACAAAGGACTCTCCAGTCTGTAGGCTCCGTTAAACCCAGAAGCCATTTAGCCACCCTGCTCTTTAAGTCTGCTGCTCTGGATGTCATAGTACTCCACAAGCGATTTCTCAACCTATTTCTGTGTGTCTGTGCTCATAGTTGTATATGTGTCTGTTTTTGCCTTGTCTCTCCTGTGATTATATGTTAAGTGTTTAATAGGCCCTTGGTATATGTGACTGTGATTGTGTGCCTATATGTGGGTTGGGGCCTGTGTATGTGGGTGAGGGTGCAGATGCTCGTGGATTTGCGTGTTGACTTGTTTTCTGGGTGCTGTTTCAATCCATTCCCTCTGTGAAGCTCAATCTCAAGGACCTGCACGGAGTATTTTTTTTTTCTTTTTTTGTCTTTTTTTTCATTTGTATCGGTACTGGGGATCGAACTCACGACTGCCTGCTTGCAGGCAGGTACTTAAGCCGCTGAGCTAAATCCCCAGCCCCTACCTGTAATATTTTATGACCAGGGGAAAGAGGATGGGAGCTCTTGGCCTAGGCCCTCAACCTCATGGGGCCTGCAGAGGGCGTCTAGTATATAGGCAAATGGAGCGCGTGGTTTGTGGAAGGGATGCTTTGGCCTGAGTGTGCTGGGGTGTCTTATTCCAGAAAGGGACTGGAAATGAGCAAGAATCCAAATCAAATGACTCAGCTTCTGAAAGTCCCTGATCCTGGAGGGGTCCTGTTTCATTTTCTGTCTTTCTCCAAGTTTTCTGCCCATTTCCAGAGTGTCTTGGCCCAGACAAAGGGGCAGAGCTTGGCTCTGCAGTCCTAGAGAGTAAGTGAGATATTGCGGAGGTGATAGGACTCCGGACAGGAAGTCGTCTTGAGCAATAGTGCAGCCACCTTCCCCTGCCTCTTGCCCGCCGGAGCTGAAGTGGTGCCACTTTGGGGGTCTTTGAAAGTTTCTCAGTCATTGTGAGCTGGAGTATGCCTGGGCCTGGACTAAGCTTGCTTGGGAAAGGCTCAGTAAACAAGGGCTTCTGAACACGAAGTGGGAGGTGACCTGAGTGGCTGCTGAGGGAGAGTTTTGGGGGCTGGAGTGAGGCAGGAGAGCTGGGCGATGGAGGGAGCTTTGCAGGACTTTGAGTGTGGCTGGGACAGGAGGGAGATTTTCTAAGGAGAATGAACAGCAGCACGAAGGCTCAAAGGAGAGACTTGGAGTTAACATATTCATGCCACCTTGAGCCACTGACAGTACACGTGTGGTGGTCACATGGGGCGACTTGTACCACTGGTGGTACACATGCATGACGGCCCCATGCTGCCTGATGGGACATTCGTGCATGTGCAGCCCCACTGTGAACACGTTAGCCCTAATGCAGGTAAGGGCGGAAGGTTGGAAAGAGTGTGGTTGTATATGAAATAACTGGGGACTTGTTTCCAGAGCCTCACTGGAAGAGTACCTCACTGTAGAGTAATTCCTGACAGGGCCGGGGATTTAGCTCAGTAGTGTAAGCTCCTCTGGCAAGTGCTGGCAAGTGCTAGGTCGTGAGTTTGATCCCTGTTACAAAAAAGACTTCTGGCAGTGGAGCTGTGGGGGTGACCATGCCAGCTTCAATCTGCAGTCCCAAGAGGGTGCATCCAGACTGGCCACATCTGTCAAAATATACGGGAGGCTGAGAGCGGGTACCTGGCTATCTGGGCTTTTTTTTTTTTTTTTTTTTTTGTCTTTTTCCTTTTTTATCGGTACCAGGGATCGAACTCACGACTGCCTGCTTTGCAGGGCAGCTGCTTATGCCACTGAGCTAAATCCCCAGCCCCTGCTATCTGGGCTTTTATGTGGGAAGAGGATTCTGTGCTGCAGTCGCCCTAAGAAGGGAGGTGGGAGTCAGCCTGGAAGGGATCAGTGGGGTGGAAGAAGCTGTGCAGACCTAGAGATATTAAAGAGATGGGAAACAACTGGAACGAGGGGGAAGAACACATGGAGACTAGCGCACACCTGTAATCCCAGCATTCCGGAGGCTGAGGCAGGAGGATCATTGCAAGTTCGAGACCAGCCTGGACTACATAGTGAGACCCTGTCTCAAAGACAAAAAAAAAAAAAAAAAAAAAAAAAAAAAAAAAAAAAAAAAAGAAAGAAAGAAAGAGCAGATGAAGAGCCAGGGATGACACACGATGTGCGTCTGGGTTCCAGGTTGCAGAGCTGCTGCCTGTTTGGGATTTCCTCTTGGCTCTCTCATGGCTGCCTAATTCCAAACCCAAACTGGGCTTCCAGCACCTCCCTCTTAGCTTATTTTTCTTGTGATTCACTTGTGTCTGAGACTGTCATGCCTTGCTGCAGCTGCCCAGACCTGAAACCTGGATCAGCTCTGTTTGTCCTCTTTCCTTTATGCCTCAAATATAATAAAAAGATTTAAATTATGTATATGGGAAAGAAACCTTTCACAGCAGTTAGAATAAAATCCTTACCCATTCCTGTGGCCTGCAAAGACTCAGATCATGTGATGCTGGCTTCTGTCCTATCCCACCTTATGCCCTCTCCTTGTCTGTTATGGTCCAGCCATGTAGCCCTTTTCTCTTTGAATGGCTGGCATCATCTCCTGTAGACATAAGTTTAAACACCTCATCTTCAGCCTTCCTTAGGCCTCTGTTTTTTGTGGGGGAGGTCCTAGGAATTGAACTCAGGAACTTGCGCTTGCCAGGCAGGTACTGTACTGCTGAGCTGTATCTCTGGCCCCAGGCACTCTATTTTAAGCATGTTTGTACCGCCTTCTTGTACCGACGTGCTAAAATTACAGGTGTGCACCGCCACGCCTGGCTATCCAGTTTTTATTTTTTGTACATATTTGCAGTATGTAATGTTTACATCCGTTGTGGGGAGCCAGTAGCATATGTAATATGCGTGAATTTCCTTTTCTCTTCCCCTAGCTCTCCCTTCCCTTCTGCTGTTTCTTGGTCCCTTTCCCTTTTTTTGCTAAAGACTTAACTTTCCCTACTACCTGTCTTTTATTTTGCTCTTTATTTATATGTTGGGTTTTTCATATAAGAGAAACTCAGTTTATCTGCCTGATTTAGTTCACTTAACATCATCTCAAGGTGCATCCGTTTTCCTATGAATGACTCAGGTTTATCTCTTCTTATGGCAGAGCAGTGCTCCACTGTGTGTAAACACCACATTTTCTTTCTCCACCCATCTGCTGATGGACGTATGGGCTGCTTCCAATGTTCAGCTGTTACAAATTGTGCTGCTATAAACATGGGTGTGTACGGATCTCCACAATATACTGAAATGTCTTCAGCTCTTTCAAGAGCAAATACCTAGGAGAGGAAAACTGAGTAAATTAGAATTTTGAGTTTTAGTTTTGTGAGGAACCTCCACACCAATTTCCATCATGGTTATATTAGTTTAAATTCCCACCAGTGGTGTAGAAGGGTTCTTTCCCTGCAGCCTCTCTAGTATTGCTTATTATTTGATTTCTTCATGGTGACTGTTCTTTGAGGAATAAGGTGGAATCTTGCTGTCTTGATTTAAATTTCTCTAATGACCAGCAATGCTGAGCATTTTTTCATGTGTTCTCTTTTTTTCTTCATATATTTATTGGTCATTTGTACTTCTATGAAGTGTTTATGCATTTTGGTTGCCCATTTTTTGATTAGGTCTTTGTTCCATTTTGTTTGGTATCCACTTTTTATTTTTTGTACTGGGGATTAAACTTACAACCTTGTGCTTACCAGGCAAGCACTTGGAGCTGCTGAACTAAATCTCTGGCATTGATTAGGTCTTTTATTTTGGGGGAACTAATTTTTTTGAGTTTTTTATATCAGTCCTCTGAGGAATAGCTGGCAATTTTTTCACATTCTGTAGGTTGTCTTTTTAGTCTGTTGATTTTTTCTTTTGCTATGCAAAAGCTTTTTAATTAGATAAGATTCCATTTTTTGATTCTCAATACTTTTCCTGTGCAACTGGGGCTTTCTTAAGAAAGCCTTTGCCTATGGCTATGACTCTAAGAGTTTCCCTATTTTGTCTTCCAGCAGGTTAAGTGTTTTTATTCTAGCATTTATTTCTTTGATCCATCTGACTTTAGTGTAGTTCATGTTGAAACATACAGTTAAGGGGAAGTTTTCTTGGCATGTGATTGCCAAGAGTTTGTCCATTTTATTTTTCAAAGGATCAGATTTTCATCTTATTAATTCTTTGTATTTTTTTTTTTTAGTCTCAAAATTTCATTAATTTCTGCTCTGATCTTTGCAGTTTCTTTCCTGTAGAGTGGTACCTCAGTTCACGAACTCATTTTGCTCCATAATTCTGTTTGCAAACCAAACTGGATGAGAATCAAATCAGATTTCCCCATAAGGTCAACAAATAGCCTACACATTGAATTTGACTTGGTTCTTACACAACTTGCTTTGTGACCAGGATCGTGGAAAGAGTTAAGTGCAAGAATGGAGGTATCACTGTGATAGCTTGGATTCGGAGCGTTCTTGTTTCTCTAGGACCTAGAGGTGCATCTTAGGCCACTTCTCTGGCTCATCCTTTTTCTGAAGTAGGCATCTCTCTCAGGACTACTTCCCTTGTGCCCTACAGGTTCTACTATGCTGTACTGATACTGTGATTTGATTGGAGGAGCTGTCTGATGTCTTCCTTGAGTTCTTCTGTGACACACTGATTATTCAAGAGTGTATTGTTTAATTTCCATTTGTTTGCATAATTTCTGTGGTTTCTTTTGCTTTTGATTTCTAGCTTCTTTGCAGTGTGTTCTGTTAGTGTGCATGGGATAATTTCCATTCTTTTTTATTTATGTAAGCATGCTTTATTGGCTGATGTGCAGTTTCTTTTGGAAAATGTTCCATGTGCTGTTAAGAAGATTATGTATTTTGTTGTTGGGTGGAGCATTCTGCAGATACCCATTAAGTTCATTTTTTTGAAGGCTTGGTTCAACTTTGACATTTCTTTTTTTTTTTTTTTTTTTTTTTTTTTTATCGGTACCAGGGATCAAACTCACAACTGCCTGCTTGCAAGGCAAGTGCTTATGCCGCTGAGCTAAATCCCCAGCTAAATCCTCAACTCTGCCATTTCTTTGTTAATTTTTTTTATCTAGCTGATCTGTCTATTTGTGATGTGTTGATGTTGGTCTGATCTTTTATGTCCAGTGGATTTGGTTTTTATAAAGTTGGGTACACAAGTATATATAATTGTTATCTCTGCCTCTTGAATTGTTCCCTTAACCAATATTAAATACTAGTATTTAATTTAGTATATTAAGTACTAAATTTTTTTTGCCTCTTCTGATCAGTTTTAGCTTAAAGCTCATTTTATCTCACAGAGGATGGCTACCCTAGCTTGTTTCTGGGGTCCCACTGCATGGAGTGTTGTTTCCTATCCTTTGATTTTTAGTCTATAATCTTTTTGGCTTAAATATGTTTCTTGTATCCAGCACTTCATTGACAGAATGAATGTCACCTTGAGGTATTAGAATTAGATTTGGAATTTATCTATTCTGCCAATCTGTGTCTTTTGGTTAGGGAATCAAGACCATTCATATTGAGAGTTATTACGGGAAAGTATTGACTAATTCCTATTGTTGCATTATTTTTCTGTTGCTGATTTCTTTTTTTCTCCCTTCTTCTGATTAACTGTTCACCTGGTGTATTAATTCTTTTTTTAAAATTTTTGTATTACCCCCCCCCCCCCCGTATTAATTCTTTTAGATCTTTTAGCGTTGCTTCATTGTCTCTTTCTGGGATATCCTTGGGAATTTTTGGAGTGCTGGTTTGATGGTTTATTCTTTCTTTCTTTCTTTTGACAGGGTCTTACTTTGTAGTGCAGGCTGGCCTCAAACTCATGGTGATTATCCTGCCTTAGCCTCTGAAATGCTAGGATTACAGGTGTGCACTACCATGCCTGGTGTCTATGAATTTCTTAAGTTGCAGCTCTGCTATGTTTCAATTTATTTGGTACTGGGGATCGAACTCACAACCTCCTGCTTGCCAGGCAGGTGCTTATGCTGCTGAGCTAAATCCCCAGCCCTCTGTGTTTCAATCTTGAATCCAGGTTGTTGGGTAGTATTACTACTCCAGCCAAGATTCTAATCAATTTCTCTTGTGAGTTTCACCCTTTGAAGTTAGTTGTGGCTGTGTGCACTATGTTAGCTAAAGAAATGTGAGCAGAAGCAGCAGGTAGATGAGCAGATTTAAGCAAAGGTCACCCTTTGCTGAGTTCCCTGACTCCAATGATCACAAAAGCATGTGTTGAGAGGAAGGAGCATGCCAAATGAATTGAGCAGCTTGGAATTTTGAACCAACACATGGCATACAGCTGGGCTAGAGACTCGCCCGGGCCCACAGCAGGCTTGATATGTGTGAGGAATAGATTTTTTTTTTTTTTTTAAAATCGGTACCAGGGATCGAACTCATGACCGCCTGCTTGCAAGGCAGGCGCTTATGCCGCTGAGCTAAATCCCCAGCCCCAAGGAATAGAATTTTGATGTGCTAAGCTACTGAGATTTGGGTGTCACTTAATGTCATGGCATAACCTTGCCTATCCTGACAAATCAGGTGTGCTGCTGGTGGTTACCAGTTACTGCAGAATAGGAAGGAGATTACAGCAAAGCTAGAGGAGGAATGGATGAGGTCTTGGGTTAGAGTTGGATATGGCAGTGGATTGAATTGTGTACCCCTCCAATTTATATGTTAAAGACTTAACCCTCAATTTGACAATATCCCTGGTCTGATTCTTTTCCCCCCATACCTGAGTCTTTTAGACTGGTCTTTACCAGGTTAGTTCTGGGGTCCTCATCAGAAGCTTGAGCTCCCTTATTTCTAGAAATACCTCCCACATAATCTTTAATGCTGCCACTGCCCCTGGCCTTCTGACCCCAGCCTTGCCCCTCCATTCTTTCTTTTCTGGCCTCCGATGCTTCCCTGGGAATGGGATAGGATGGCATCGATGTAGCCCAATGGTCCCCTATTCCGCCTCCCTACTGTTGGGAAAAATGAGCCTGAGCAAGTCTCCTCCTGAAGGCTCTGCAGAAACTCGCTCCTCGTGTGCTGGAGAGGCCCAGGCCGAAGGCCTTCCCTGGACAATCTCTGTCTCTTTGTGTTCAAGCAGGCAGGTCCTGCCTAAGATTTTTGATTTTCTTGTTTGATTTTTCAACTCTTCTGAGCAAGCCAGGCCTTTCTACCCTAATTAGACATCCCAGCCCCCCCCCCCCAGAGTTATTCTGTAAGTCAGACTTCGACTGGAACCCCAAGTTTGGTGCTTACTCTGCCTCCTTATGCCCCAGTTTTCTTACACACAGAATGGTACTCATGGCATCTACCTCACAGAGTTGTTTGAGTATGCAGTAATGTGTCCTTGGAGACTGGCTAATGGTCAGCACCCCAAAGTAATGGCCTTATTCCTTGGGGCTACTTCTTCAGACCTGGCCCTGCTATAATGGTCTCTACTTTTATGTAGGAGACAGATCAGCTCTGAGAGTGTGTGAAAAGGTAGGTGTACATTCTGGAGCCAAACTTCAAGCAGGAACTTAGCGCTGACATTTTCCTAGGTGTGTAACCTGGGCGATTACTTCCCCTCTGTGTCTCAGCTTTGTCATGTGCAATGCAGGAATGGTCGTAGCACTTAAAGTAGTAGTGTGTTAGGACCACAGAGCCATGTCCTTCCGTGTGGACAAAGTCTCAGGGTCATCTAAGAAACCTTTTTACCAGGGAAGCGCCTGCTTATTCCTACACAGGGGCTTTTGGAGGAAACAACCCAGTTAGGAATCTTGCTCTTTTGTGAGACTGTTATTTCCAGGATTTTCTTTGTCTCTTACTGAATTTCCCAGAGGCTAAAAGAAGGAGGTGACATGGGGTGGGGGTTTGCCGAGAAGTTGAACATGAGAAACATGATCAAAACCGTATGGAGCTGGCTCAGACCAGACATTCAACCATGCAACAGTCAGCCCCAGTTGTCTTAAGAACTGGGTGTGCCCGGTGTGTGTGTGTACCCCAGTGTGTGTGTGTGTGTGCCCCAGTGTGTGTGTGTGTGTGTGTGTGTGTGTGTGTGTGTGTGTGTGTGTAAAGGGAAAAGGCATGTTTATCTATTTTTCTGTTGAGCAGCGGTATACTGGGGCTTAGCGTGCCAGCCACTGTGCAGAGCAGCCATGGCAATGGAAGTGGACTGGCTCATCCTTTCCTCTGGGAGGTCTCTTAGCTGACAGGGCATCAGATGTTCTAAAAGCTCAGAGTGCTCTGACCAGGGGTGTTAGATGAGTTTAGGAATACATTAGTTCTAGGGACCATAAACTTTCAGGTCATTCAGCTGCAGACCTTAAACTTGTAGTGAGGGTTATGTGTTGTGACTTTGTAAAGAATTTGGAAGGAGAGAGGAAGATGTCTTTAAAGGTAGGTGGCAAATCCTCCATGTCTTTGTGACTTTGCTGGCCACTGGGACAAAATATGCCATACCCACAATTTAGAGGAGAGGTTTATTTGGGCTCATGGTTTCAGTCCATTGTTGGCCAACTCCAATGGGAAAATGGCATGGAGGAAGGAAGCCGTTCATGCTATGGTGGCTGGAAAGCAGAGAGAAAAGGGGGAAGTGAGCGGAGTGGGGGGTACAGCTTTCAGGTCATGCCCCAGCAAACTGCTTCTTCTTACCAGGTACCTCCTGTAGCATATTTAGCTGTAGTGGACAGTGGATTCATCAGGTATAGTTAGTTCTGTCCCCTCCATGACCCAACTGTGTTCTAAAAAGCCCTATGTCTGAACATAGGAAACTTTTGGGAGAACATTCTAGATTTAAACCCTAACATTTCATATCCTTGTTGGAGGAGCCATGAGTCCATGCTACCTGTCAGAAACTAGCAGCTTCGCCATTGACAGAGATAAGCAGGCAAAACTTGGGATGAATGCAGGAGAAACATTTAGAGAATTATAGTGAAACAGGAAGCAGATATTGACTGAATAGAGTCACAGCGCTGAGTATGTTGGTGTAGGAGGGGGCAACCTCAGATCGCACTAGGCAGAGAGCTGTGGGGTTAAGACCCAGTGCCCAGGAGGCATTGGTGAAGGTTGGAGTGGTGAGAAACAGAGGACACGAGAGGCTAGGATAAAAGGGCATGGCTTGAGAAGGGCCGGGTGGAGATGTAAGCCTGCTCCTGTGCAGGCTTCCTTCAGATTCTTCACTTCTCAGGCCTCCAAGGTCAAGCAGAGGACTGTTAAGTCTTAGGCACTTCACCAGCTCCTCGTTTATATTTTCTGTCTCTCTAAGCCTCAGCCCTCTTTCTGTTCCCAGAATTGGGCCCCTGGGGACCCAAGAAGTGGGAAAGTTTTTGGATATGACTGACTTTGAGGGAGCCTATGCAAATTTTGGGGTTTAACATGAGATCCAAGGATTCAAGAGCCAAGTCTATGCTTGCAAGGATTCTCAAAAATCAAGCCCCTCCCTGCCATCTGACAGAGGGAAGGACTGAAGCTTTAGCATAGAGAATGTTGCAAGAATTTGCCCAGGGCCACATAGTGATGGGCACAGTTACAAGATGAGGTGATGTGGGTCCAGGCATTGAGTTCACTGAGTTTTTGATTTCCTCTTAAAACCCACAGTGGTAGTACCACGAAGATAGTGTCTGGGGTCTCTGTCTTGATGACACCTCCCCCACAGTCCCCATCCTCACCTCTCCTACTCATCTGTGTGTTTGCCTGAGGGTCCAGGGAGAGAATCTGTGTCTGCTTCTGTGGAAGACTGACTTCCTCTTGTTTTCACTGGGACATGAGACAGATTTGAGGCAATGTGCTCCCCTCACATATGTGTTCTCTGCCTGTGGGGTGCAGGGCGTTCTGTGGCTGGCTGGCTTGATGGGTGGACTCATGGATGGATGAATGGGCAGTGGGTGTCTGTGTGTGAGAGGATGGGGGGAAGTCTGATGTGTGCAAGGACAGCTGGGTGAATGATGCTTGAATGCATGAATGGATGGGTAGTTTTCCCTGGCCAGCAGAGCCAAGGTTCCCAGCCATAGCAGCTGTTCTTGAAAACTGTCCCCACCCCTCCCAACCCTGGTGACTCTGAGACCTGGAATACCTGAGGTTTTGCGGGAGCAGAAGAGAAAGAGACTGACATGCTTTTAGCCCAGTGAGGAGGGGCTGCACAACTGCCTCAGCACTGCTGCATTTCCAGTGCTTTGCTAGGCTGCTCTGCCCTGGATGTGTTACTGACTGGAATGTATCTACTATAGTGATGGCATCTTTTTCCAGGCAAGGATGCTTAATCTGACCTCTTAGCTGCCATCTGACCCTAGTGGCATAGAGTTGTTACTCCTGGCTGGATAGGTACTTAAAGGCCAAGGTGTAGGAGCTTTTGCAGGGACTTCTGAAGCACAGTAAGCTTACTCTTCGCAAAAAGCCCATATTTCAAGTTACAGGGCTCTTGTGTGCATGCCTGAGAGCCTTCCTGAGACTCCCTTGGTGTCTGTGTTGCCTCTGAGTCCTACAGCCCATGGGTACCTGTAGTGGGGCTACTTTGTGCTGAATCTACCAAGCTTCCCTTGCTGCTGCTGCTTCTACCCTGTGGCCTCTCTCCGATGTCTGTCTGACCTCTGGCTCTGTCTGTCAGTGTGCCTGAAAGATGTGACCCCAGGATTGCTCAGACTGAGTGAGAGAAAGGCTGGCCCCGAGGTCAAATTCTCTGTGGACAGAAGGAGCAGGTGGGGCCTTCAGCCATGGCTGCAGAACCTTTTCTCACACACTCTCATTCTCTAAACAAGTATTCATTGAGTGATCTTGTATCAGGCTGCACACTGGAAACCAAAATAGACATAATCGCTGTCCAGGAAACATGGACAAACTAGCAAAACATAAACCGATGTGATAGATACAGTACAGGGGGCTTTTGAGCTTGGGAGGGAGTTAGGAGGCTTCCTAGAGGAGGAGACACACAGATCCAGATGGGGAGCCAGGGGGACAGAAGACAGAGTGTACCAGAGGGAATGGCTGTGATAGATGAGTAGTTTGTCCCAGGTAGAAGTTAAGCCCTTTGCCCTGCCCCTTGCCCTCACTAACAGGTGATCCCTAAGAAACCTGGGTGCTTGAACGACAGCCTCAGAGTGAAGACAGGGAGGTACGAGAGACTTGGCTCATTCAGGGGACTGATACAGGTTGAATGTGCCTGGGTGATGGGCAGTGGGGAGGCATGATGTGGGGCCCTATTTGGGGGGGCTGACTCTGAGAGCAGCATGGTGTTGGGTGGAGGTTGATAAGGAGATTGCTCAGATCTGGGGTGGAATGGCAGCAGCCTCAGGTGCTATTCTGTCTCCTCTCTTCCTATTCCTGTTCCTCCTGGTACAGCAAAAGGATAGCAGGCAGACGGCTCTGTGGGTACCAAATAGCTTTATTGGAAGCATTGCAGTTTGGATGTGAAAGGCGGTGCTCGTGCTCACACTCGTGTTCACACTCACATTGACACTCCAGGCCCTGTCCTGGTTGGGTCAGGTCTGCTACAGAAGAGCTGGAGGCCTGGTCCTCTCTCTGGCCTTTGTTCCCTAGACCACAGCAAATCACATCTTGTTGGACTCAGGGCTCCCTGTGGTGCTGCCGGGCTAGCTGCTGTGGCGCTGGCCCTGAGGAGGGAAGGAGAAGGGTGGTCATGAACTGGAACCTTAGAGGGGGCTTGGCGGGCAGAGATGGGGCTGGGAAGAGGCCGGCTTGCCTTGGCAAAGGACTTCTTCAGTCTCCGGATGATGCGCTGTACCCAGGGCTGCTCTGGGGGTGCACAGAGCTGGTGGCCCCTTAGTGTGGTGAACCTGGAGTGAGAGCCAAAGTCAGAGAGACTGGAACCCCAGAACCCAGCTTGTGTGAGGGTCAGATGCTGGGGATCATGCCTGGGAACCTGTTTCGGCGGCTTCTTTGAAGGGACTGAATGTGATCAGGAAAGGGGAACAGGGGCTGAGACCATCACTGAGGGGTGATGGGGGACATGGCAAGGTCCTCCACCCACAACTCACACAACAGCTGGCACCCTGCAGCCATCTGTGATGAAAAGGTAGCGAAAGGCTTTCACGATGTTCCCAGGGATGGGCCGCAGAGTCACAGACAGGCAGCAGTCTTCAGCATCGTTAGCGCCACCCAGAGCAGGGGCTGGGACAGAGGAAAGCAGGTGACAGGACAGAGAGGCTGTGAGGAGGGGCCAGTGGCCAAAGCGGCATTAAACACACTTGAGTGTGTGTGTGGTAGGGGACAGCTGGACCTGACACTCAGCTGGTGCACACTGGTATGGCCCCACCGGCTGCTGAATATATTACAACACTTCTAAGTCTGATAAAGAACGCTGCCCTGAGCCCCCAGGGACTTCCTGCTGCTCTGATTCCCCCAGACTCCTCTCCCAGGTCTGCTTAGCTCCCTACATTACAGCAAATACAGCTGATGATAGCTGTAGTGCTGGGGCAGGCTGGTGTCAGCACTGTTTTTTGTACCAGGAACTGAACTCAGGACCTCACACTAAGGGTCTGATGAATTACTAAATAATTCGGCTGGGCGTGCACACCTAGTTCCAGCTCTGGGAGACTGATGCAAGGGATCACTTGAACCCAGGAATTTGAGACCACTGTAAACAACATAGGGAGACCTCAAATATTTTTAAAAAGGGAATAAAATGAGTCAATTACAGTACTACATATTTTTGACTACCAGCTCTAGTGCCTCCCATTCTCCCTATTTTAAACAAATATACGGTTCTCTCTCCTCCCTTGAAAAAAGGCAGCAGGAAATCGAGTCTGCAGAAAAAGAGGCAGCCCAGGGTATGCCCAGTGCAGAGCCACCCTGGGCGCAAGCACATCCACATGCACAGGAACACACTGGGTCTGATAGTCCCAGAGTGAAACAAGCAGGCCTGAACTTTCGGGGTCTCCTTGACCACCTCAGGTGGTTTGAGACCCGGACGTTGCCCCCTACTCACTGACCCCCGCCCCGTGCCTCCCCGCAGCCTTACCCAGGGAGGCCCAGAGAACCAGCAGGCTGAGGGCCAACAGCGGGGCCATGTGGCGAGCCATAGTATCTGATAGCGTGTGTGCGAGCTCTGCGAGAGTGTGGGTGTGTGCACGAGTCTGTGCGAGGCCGAGGCCCAGATGAGTGTGCAGCGGAGAGATGAGCGGCACACCGGTGTCCGTGTGGGGTATGAGCTCCTCTGGGAGCGTGAGCGTGCAAGTCTGTGTGAGGCTGCGAGTCTTCGGCTGCCTCCTTTTATGTGGCCTGGAGCTTTCACTTTCTCTGTCCAAAAATTCCCTGCTGGGGGGAGGGGGGTTCCCTCTCTCTGCTGTGTTTCTGTCAGAACCTGACCCTGCCCTCTGTCCCCCCCCCCCCACACACACACCCCAGCTTCTCCTTCTTTGCTCTCCTTGGCCTTGGCCCTGAAAACCGAAGCGGTCTGTAGTCTGGCCAGGAAGCAGAGCTAGCTGTGCGCTCCAGGGACAGGGTTTGCCGGCGCATCTCAGCACATCATCGGCCTAGGACTGGAGCTGGGTGCTGCTCAGGGCTGGGGCACGGTCCACTGCCCAGCTTCACCCCGTCCTCACCTGTGCTCTCCCCTTTCTGGTGAGGCAGGAGGTGAGTGGGCTCCTTGGAGTCTTGAAAACAACCCTGGGGGCCTGCAGTGGCCTCCTGTGTCCTGTGTCTGTGGGCAATGGTCTGGGAGCCAGGCTCTCCCTTGAGACAGGCTAGCAGAGAATGAAAGTCCCCTGGAGAGTTCAGGAGCTCTTCCTAGTCTCAGTCCTCTGGGACTCACACTCCACACCTGGGTTAGATGAACAGCTGGAAGGGACCTGGCTGGACCGCCACCCACCATCTTCCCTTTCTCTCAGTCCTGGGAACCAAGAGGGGATTTCTAAGAAGATGCCCAGTCATACTCAGACAAATCCCCAAATTTCAAGGAACTGACAGGCTAGGAAGGAATAAATATTTTTTATTGTTGCAAGAATGATCAGAACTCCTCAAAAAAAAGGAATTAATTATGTAATATTCATTCGACCATCCTGATTCAAACTCTGGACTCTGGTTTTCTTTTTTTGGGGGATGTTTTCCCTCTTCCTTTCCACTTTATCTTTCTGGATTTTTTTTTTTTTTTTTTTTTTTTGTGCTGAGGATTGAACCCAGGACCTTGTATAGCTAGGTAAGTGCTGTACCACTGAGTTAGTCATATATATAATTTAAAATTTTATTTATTTTTTTAATTTTGAGGGAAGACCTCGCTAAGTTCATCAGATTGACCTCAAACTTTTTTTTTTTGCCTCTTTTTATGGGTACCGGGGATCGAACTCACAACTGCCTACTTGCAAGGTAGGTGCTTATGCCGCTGAGCTAAATCCCCAGCCTGACCTCAAACTTCTGATTATTAAAAAAAAAGCCCAAATGAACAAAAATTTTAAGAAATTTCAATTCTATTGCTTCAGCCTCCTGAGTATCTGAAATTACGGGCATGGACGGTGCTGTCCAAGGCAAGGTTTGCACTTTTTTGCCATGACTCTAAAATGCTTGTCTGTCTGTCGCCCTTGATCACAGCATGAATGGAGTACACAGTACACACTTCGGAGGCTGAGATTCAGATTCTGTTACTAGTTGTGTGGCCAATTATCCTGACTTTCCTTCCCAGTATCCTCTGTAAAAAATGGAATGGTAGTGGATCTATATTTTAGAATTCAATGAGGTTTTACTCATTTTATTCTGAATAAAGTCTTTTTGGTTTAGAGACTGGCCTATGATAAGCATTCATAAGTATTAGCCTTTCATTTTGTTTTGTTTTGTTTTTGGAGGACTGGATCTCACTGTGTAGTTCATGCTGGCCTTGAATTCATTATGTAGCGCAGGCTGGCCTTGAGCCTGAGGTAATATTTGTGCCTCAGCCTTCCTACGCTGGATTTCAGGCTGTGCTGCTGTGCCCAGTGTTATGGTTTTTTTTTTTTTTTTTTTTTTTTTTTTGTCTTTTTCGTTTTTTATCGGCACCAGGGATCGAACTCACGACTGCCTGCTTGCAAGGCAGGCACATATGCCACTGAGCTAAATCCCCAGCCCTAGTGTTATGGTTTATGTCAGTAGCCCCCAAGCCTTGTGCAATTATGGACTGGACCAAATCTAGCTTTTGTGATTGGTTCATTGTCTAGCGCTCGGATTGGTGGTGTGAGTGTTTCACGGGCCCAGGGGTGGAGCCAGGAAACCAGTTTTGGGGGCTGGGGATTTAGCTCAGCAGCATAGTGCCTGCCTGGCAAGCACGAGGTCGTGAGTTTGATCCCCGGTACCAAAAAATTCAGTTTTAGTTTTATTCGTTTAATATAATCTTGCTAGCCCAATCATAAACAGTAGTTCACCTTATAAAATATGTCCTCACCATTTGCAGTCGTCATTTGCGGCAATAACAATTAGCTGTGTAGGTACTTTATCTCCTGATGTCTGCCCCCCAGCATTCCATCCTGCATCTCATGTGTGATGCTCTGAATGGTTTGATGATTTTGCTATCCTGCAGATTGTGTGTGTCCTCTGTCCTATGCAAGGAGATTATCCATCAAGTAATATGAGCAAGCCAAGCACAGGATTCCATTTTGAAAATCTATTACCTGAGATTCTTCTGGTACCATTCACTCAAGACTGTGGCAGGGAGCCAATGGCGTGTTGTGAGTATATGGGAAAAATCAAATCTTGTCTTGTGGTCTACTCATCACTCAGTGACCTCAGTCATCAAGAAGTCTGTGGGCCTTCTCCTGAGCAGCGATTCTTTGGTAGATAGCCCTCCGGCAGATGTCAGCCAGTGGCTTCTAACTCAATTTGCTGCTGATGCTCGCTGCCTGGAGATAGTGTCACATCCCACGTGACTCCCCCACACCACTGCCCCTGCTTCAGATGCCAGGCACAGGCACAGACTGTGGCCTGTACTTCTGACCAATGGGCAATACACAGGATTTTCCATGAGCTACTCCTTGGTTTTTATTAATTTGTTAGAGAAGCTCCCAGAACCCACAGAAGCATTCAATTTTACTGTTTATGATAAAGGATATTAAAAAGCAGCATTCATCTTGTGGGGGAGGGTTTGGGACAAGGACTGTTTTTTTTGCTACTGGGAGCTGAACTCACCACCTAGCACTTGCCAGGCAGGCACTTATGCCACTGAGGTAAATCCCTGGCCCTCCCCCACTTATAGGATCTTACTATATAGTTTAGGCTGTTCTTGAACTGTAGCCAGACTGGCCTTGAACCAGCGCCGCTCCTCCTGCCTCAGTCTCCCGAGTGCTAAGAGTATGGGCCTGAGCTACTGTGTCTGGGCTGAGGCATTCATTTTTAAGTGGTCTTGTATATAAGATAGAGGATCTTAGAACTGCTAAAAGTTGGGAGTAAAATCTTGAAGAGGCTGCTTAGACTCCTACTCGTGTTATTTCCTGCTTCTTCCTCTGATCACACTTATGGCTTCATGGAGATTTCCCTACAGTTAACAGAGGGAGAAAAATAGTTCTGGATTTTAGGCAGAGTTGTAAGTATGCTGGTACAGTGAGAAATAGTTGCTCACAGCCCCACCCAGGGGAGCCCTGAAAACCCACAGTGAAGGGAAGCCCTTTGAGTGGGTAGAATTTCAGGTAGTACATTTAGTATACACTCGGTCTACAAGAAGAGAGGGCCTGAGGTTTGGAGCCTTAGTAATTCACGGCAGTGGCTGCCTGCAGCTCTCCCCCTCTGCTCTGTAAGTGGCCCCCTCAGTAAGTTCTTTTCCACTAAGCCTTTCTGAGGAGATATTTGTTTTCTTCCAAGATCCCCAGCGGCACAATCCTACAGTACAAAGCTGCAAGGCGGTTGGTTTCAATTCAGTTGCAATGCCGTCTGCCTGGAGTGCCTGTTGGGAAACATCCTGAGACTTAGCAGAGAAGAGTGAAATAACGAAACAATAGTATCACATTCACTCAGCTAATATGTGTTGAGGGCTTCCTGTGTACCAGGCACTGTTCTTGGTACTTGGGTATAGCAGTAAACAAGACACGTATACCTTCTTGCTCTTCCAGAGCTTTTATTTTAATGAAATAGACACACAACAAGCAAACAAGGAAAAGCCTATAAAGAAAAACAGGCAGAAAAATAGTATAGGATTATTTTAAATAAGGCAGTCAAGGAAGCCTTCAGCTGATAACATATGGATAGAAGAAAGTGAGATTTGGGGAAAAGGCCTCGGTAGTGAGAACAGCTGATGAAAAAGGTCGTAAGACAAGTGTGTGTCTGAGAAATAGGAGTTGCGGTGGCAGGCTAGTTAGATAATAATGGGAACCAGGTAGTGTAGACCTATGCTGGCCATGGCAGAGTTTATATTTTACTGGGATGGGAAGGGCAGCAGTGGAAGGTGTGAACAGATGTGTGATCTGACTTCAAAGCTCCCTTGGCTTCCAAATGTGGAATAGGACGAAGCAGTGGAAGCATGGAAGCATCGAGGCAGGGGAACCTGGGGGTTGAGCTGGGGGCGGGGTGCTGGCAGCAATAGACCGTGGCGCTTGGAGGTAATGAGCAGTGGTCCGATTCTGGAACTGAGACAGAGCCATTAGAGTTTGCTGAGGGGCTTGGCATAGGCTATGAGAGAAAGAAGAGGCAAGAATATTGCAAGGTTTTTTTGGCTTGAACAGTTCAATGGGTGTAATTTTATTTATCGAGATATGGATGACTGCAGGCGAGTGGATTTGTGGGGAGACCAGGAGCTGGGTTTTCACTCCCCAAGCTGAGGCAAGATGCATGCTGTACATATAAATGGAAATGTTAAGTAAGTGTTGGCTTGAGTCTGGAGTTCAGGGAAAAGATGCTAGCTGAAGATTCAAATTTGGGAACATATGGGTGATATTTAAAGCCACAGGACAATGAGATCAGCAAGAGTATAGATAGAAAGGTTCACATGCCAAGTTCTGAGGCTTGGCAACGTTTATGAATCAGGGAAGCGAAGAAAAGTTAAGGAGGAAGGGGCATTTGGGATGTTACAAAGATACTAAACCCACCTTTGTGGCACAAAAAGGAAGGACACACGACCTGTAAGTGGAGTGTTTAAGGCACCAACGCCCAGCAAATTTTCTAGTACCAAGCTGCATCCTCAGTTCTTTTACACTTGAAAAGTAGCTCTTCCTTTGCCACTGGGCCTTGGTTTAAAGCTCAAACTGTAGTTCACTTTGGAGGGTGTCGTTTAGATAACACCTAGGGGTGACGGTTCAAACCATACATTGGGGTGGGAGCAGA